TTCGTAAGATAATGGAGTACTGAGATATTATTGTTTAGGATTTGAGTCCATATCAGACGATGATATATATTGTCCAATTTTAAAGGGAATTCGTGTAATTCTCTTTTTGGTGTAGCTTGAAGAAAAAAGAGAGTACAAATTAATGCTCCCTTTCTTACATACTTAACATATATACATATTGTTCTAGCTGTGATGTTTGGATAAAGCCTAACCAATCTCCACATGGATATAATATACCCTTAATTAGGCTCTGTTTGAAAGCTCATTAAGATATTTTGCTTTTGTGCTGTACGCGAAACAAGAAATATTATTAGCTTATAATTAATTAAGTATTAACTATTACAAACTTAAAATATGTTTACTTAATTTTTTAAAAGAAACTTCTATATAAAAAATTTTTTTTAACAAACACACTGTTTACCAGTTTGGGAAATGTGCTTATAGTAATATGGAGAGAGTTGCAAGAGCGAAATGAAACAAATGAATACACCCTAATACTCATAAAATATTTTATGGTTTGAACAAGATTTCGTTACACTTTAGAAACTTAATTTGACCATCAATACCTTTTCAAATATTTAATTTAAAAAATGATGTGTATTTATACCTTGAAAAGTACATCGTAGTTTCATAAAGTTATTAATTACTTCATCCATTTCATATTATAAGAGTTTTTAGGTTTTAAATAGATACATGCATGCATCCATGTATGTGCTTCGTATATGTATCTAAATTCACATAAATATTACTCCCTTCGTCCCAAAATATATGTATTTTTAGACTAGGACACGGTCTCTGAGATGTACTTTGACCAATAATATATATATAAATAAGATGTTTTAAATGAAAAGAGTTATATATTATGATAGATTATTTGATGATAAATCTACTAACATCAATTTTACATGATTGATCTTTTTTATTTTCTTGTTATTAATAGTTAAAGTTGAAATTGTTTGACTTTTCACTATGCTAAACATACTTATATTTTGGGACGGAGGGAATACTAAATATGGACAAGAAATGAACAGACCAAAACATCTTTACAATGTTAAACAGAGAAAGTAGACTTTATAAGCTTTTTCTAACATAGAATTGATAGTTAGTGTTTTGAAAGTTTGAGTGAATTTTATCATGAACATGTTTAGAACATTTGTGACCAGAAGGAGTATGTTGATATCTCTAAAAAAAAACTATTGAAGTATCATGTACATTAAACTATGTTTTCCGAGCTAGGTTCTCCTACTACATTTTTTTCCATTTCTTTTGGAAAGAATCACAATATATATTGTAGAAGATTAAAATGTGGATATTATATCGCAATCCTGCACTTGCCAATCCGCACCACACGATGGACGTTTGAGCTTTGAGAATCTTTGGCCCCCTGTAATATGCACCTCCTCGTATCTTAATTAATTGGCACCAAAACAAAAACAAAAAATGAACCGCTGATTTTTTTTCTTTTTTTACGGGGCAACATCACCAACAGCAAAAACACCATGTGCACCAACAGTGACTGATCTAGAAACCCTAACCTCTCAAAAAAAAAACCAAAATCATTCTCCCAATGCGTGTTGCACGCTACGTACACGCGTCCACTCCATGATTATATTCCATCCATCGATCGAGAGAGATCAACACGCACGAATCCCTGGTCAAATCGGAAAAAGGGAAAATCAAAGCTAGATCATCGATCTCATGGTCATCGAGGCCTAACAAATCTTCCTCCTACTCATGTGATACAGTAGCTCACTCAGCTGTGCTCCCTTTGGCCAAACCTAGCACAGAGAAGTAATCTACTCCCCCATGCCACCCTCAAGCAGCGGCAAATTAAAACAATTAAAACATGAAAATTACGTGTTATGCATGCGACCCAGTTATCCGACTCGCGTATGACGACTGAATTTGACCAATGGTTATAAACAGCTGTAGTGCATATGAACATGTGCTCTTTGCATATCGTGGTAGCAATACTTTTAAAATATACCACTCCCTCCGTTTCAAAATGTTTGACACCATTGACTTTTTAGTACGTGTTTGACCATTCGTCTTATTCAAAAAATTTAAGTAATTATTTATTATTTTCATATATTCATTGTTAAATATACTTTTATGTACACATGTAATTTTATATATTTCATAAAATTTTTTTAATAAGACGAACATGTAAACCTGTGCTTAAAAAGTCAACGATGCCAAATATTCTGAGACGGATGGAGTATTTCTCTCCGTCTGTTGTGCGCCATATGTCGTGGCCTGAGTGGATTGGAGCGATCCAACGACCGTGCTGCGCCCGGTGGGCCCCAGAGTACAGACGGCCACGTAGGACAAGCAGCACCACATCCACACGTACGGGCAGGGGCCAGCGCGGCGGTGGTGGCCAGGTCGGTCAGCCAGCTGCGTATCTTGTCTCCACGTGGTGGGCGGCAGGCAGGTGTAAAATGATTATTTTTGCTCTCCGATCTTTTGCAGGCGAGTAAAATGATATACACGGGCTATAAAAATTTGGCACATCGTGCCGTACTTCGGTAGAGCAGAAAGGGTAGAAAAAATAAACTCTTAATAAGCTTTAAAGAAAGATATAAATTGGCTTAGATATTAATGGGTAGTGTGTAGATACGATTAAGAAAATATATTTGTTCTCGAGGAGTAGTCCTCTTGTTTTTACCTGTCGTCGAAAACATCATCAAAAAATTTGAGAAATTTAACAAGATGGATCTGAATCGCTCCAAAAACATACGAATCCAAATTCACCTTATACAAGTAGAAACAAAAACGCTTGACTATGAGTAGAAAGTATAATTCACAGTCAAATATATAAATTGTGTTTCTGATTGTATGTTTTTAATTGTGTATTCAAATTTAAACTTGTATATTTCTAAGTGACTATATCATATATCGACATATCTTACTTTTTTTTGACTTACCATATATCAATCTATCTTATCATTTTTTATGACTTCTGACATGATATGTACAAAACAAGGAGATGTCCGCTTAAGGGATAAAAATCCATCTCCATCTATAGCTACCTATTGTACCAATGAACTATTTAAGTTAGTTAATTAAATGATATGTTAATCCTTGTAGCTAGCAGTTGGCTATGTATCACCACCACTGAACTGTAGTCTACTTACTAAGTTTGTAAAGATTTTTAATAACTGCGGTAGATTTTTCATCTGGACCCATGGGAATGGGGGAAATTGCAAATAAAAAGAAAGGAAAATTGTATGTTCTGTTCAAGTCACAGCCTTCGAAGGCGCAGCTCCCATAGATGATACCGTGAGTACTAATTATTTCTTTCACCAATTAATCAATATTATCCCTTTCTGAAACTTTGGAATTGGATAAATATATAAACCTTATCATGGATCTTAAGGATAGGTTTTAATAGTATGCATGGTTGCTAGTGCTGACCGTCCTACTATTCTTCTTGGAGAGTAATGGACTCATGCATTGCTGTATGATTTGATTCATCACAAAAAAGAAAAAGCAATGATCTATCTAGCTAATTCTGTCCAGCTTTTTCTTGCAGCCCTCGCATGGGCGGTTTGGCAGATCCACAACAATGCAAGACGGCAATTAATATAAAGAACAAGAAATTTCGTTTGTACCATTCTGAATCTCTGATGCATGCATGTTATGTTTAAAATTATTTCTTGCCTGCAGTCTTGGAGAGCCTAGCTAGCTTGGTCAAGGAGAGGATGATATACATACAGATGCATGCAAAATCAAATTTTGGATGAAATGTTGAGTGGTATGCGATGAGCCTTTGTTGCACAAACTTCTACTAGCTAGAAACATGTGCTAGCTTAGTGACATTTATTGTTTTTTCTTCTTTTTTTAAATCCTCATTTATCCGTACATGTTCAAGTGCAACTGCTATATTCCCTAGTTGTCTGTCATTTTGTAATGAATATATATATATATATATATATATATATATATATATATATATATATATATATATATATTCAACAAAAACAATGAATTATACATAAAAAAAGTATAAATATGACAAAATAAGGGAGTGTCTAGATTTCAGAAGAATGAAAATACATTCACTTTCTTATCACCTGGATGACAATCTAATAGGTCTCATCAGTCTCCCTATTACTTATTTAAACAAAACCCTTTTTTTGTTAAAATATTGAACAACAAATTATTCTAATCTAAATTCATAAAATTTAGATAATAAACGTGACTAATAAAAAATTAAAACCATACACAACAAGAAAATTGCAGCACAAATCATACTTACATAGCACTGCAATTTTAGGCCTATTTAGCAATAAATTTTAGGTGATTAAAAAATTATATACAAATTTTATGGCACAAAATCTACCAAATACCAAAAATAAAGTTTTGTATCACAAATAACTAAATAAATAAATAAGTATGCAACAAATTCACCTTTAAAATATATACATCTTAATTCCTAATCCATATTTTTTTGAGGGAATAGATTCATAACGCATATATGAGTTCCGTACTACACTCTTAATCGATAAACGATGGAGATTCTACATCTCACTTATTTGTGTGAAAAGAGTGGTCCAAGGCCCGGCTTACCCGGGATCGCTAGCGGGCACGTATATGATCGCTGTTGTTTATGTGTTTACCTAGACTCCAAAGTATTTACAGATTGACCGCAATATACAATTGATCTATATTTATTAATCTAGATCTAATTATCTAAAGATATATCAGAATTTCCAATTAGCCAGTTTTTATCAAGACCCATACCTAAATAAATCCATTGCCCATATTAGATTCAGAGACATATTACGAGTGAAATGCCACACCTAACCTGACATACCCCCCAGCACATTGAAGAAGGGCAATTAATAGAGCATAGTATATTCAGTACTACCCCTCCTTATCCAGTCCTCCACGTCAACAAAAGAAAGAAAAAAAAGCTCCCTTGTGGAATATCCGGGGTCCCCAAGGGGCTATCCGCGAAAAAGGCCAAGCGCACCGCGACGCACGCCACGGACGCGGGGCGAATGTTGCTCTCAGTGCAAGCGACGGCCCCCCGCCATGGCTGACTCCCCCCCACGCCTCTTCCTCCTCCTCCTTTATAAGCTCTCGCGCTCGCGCTGGAGCTTTCACCACGCTCGCTCCATCGATTCCTTGTTCTAGTGTTTCTATTTTTTATTTTTGGCTCAAGTTTCTAGCGTTTCTTGATCTGCTGCTCTGCTTGGTTGCGTTTCTTGATTTGGTTGGGATTGGTTGTTCTTGGGCTTATCCTGTGTAGCCCGTTTCTTGGATTCAAAGCTCAGCTCAGGTGGGAAGGAAGACAAAGATCCCACCTGGTGAAAACGTACGGCGCAGCCGCAGATCGATTAATTTTCGCGGAAGCGTCCCCGGCCATGGTTGCTGCCCTCAGGCCGCAGGTGCTGATCTCTTCTTCAAGATAGGAAGCGAAACAGAGCAGAGCCTGCTCGTGGAAGGAGAAGCTGAGTTTGGCTCTGCAGCTGAGACTATCCATCTGCGACGAGGAGGAAGAAGAAGGAGCTAGCGAGGATGCGGCACATCTCGTCGCTGCTGCAGGGGCTGGCGCGCTCGCTGTCGGTGGGGAAGGAGAGGAAGGGCGGCGACGGCGACGACGGGAAGGCGGCGGCGGCGACGGCGACGGCGGTGCTGAGGACATCGGGGACGCTGTGGGGCGAGGGCTCTGAGACGTTCGCCGCCGTCTGCTCCCGCCGCGGCGAGAAGGGCATCAACCAGGACTGCTCCATCGTCTGCGAGGTCAGTCAGATTCTGCTCTCCTCTGCTTCTTGTTCTTGCTACTTTGCTCTCTCTCTGATCTGCTTGTGAAACAATGATATGATCACAATTATTGGTGGCATATTAGCACGTAGTAACTAGTAACAACAATACAAATGGCACATGAGAGAATTCCAACATGTTAAGAAAAAGAAAGAAATTATTTCTTTGGTTCATATTTACAGCTGATTTACTACTAGTCGTCTCAAATATGGTTCGATTCAACTGTTGTTTCTTTTCACCGACCATGTTTTTCTTATGGTGAGATTTTGTCCATGGTGTCATGATTCATTGTCCTCATCTATGTGCTCTAAAAAAAAAATCTTCTTTTTCTTTTTCTCAAAAAATAAAAAAAAAGCGGAGAATACTACTGTGGTAGGACTAGCTCTTCTCATTTCTGACCACACAAGAAAGCAAACAAACTTCCTGTTCTTATGTACTTTCTATTGACTTCTCTCTCGATTGTTCACCTAATCTTGTGTTTTAGTTCGCTTTGTTCTCTTCATGACAATTAACACTATTTTTATTATTAGTCCATTAACTAACTAGACCAGTGATTGATTAACGACAGGGTCAATTTCAGGGTCAGTTAATACATAGTTTTTGAGGCATGTTGTTTTACCAAGTTCTTGGATCTGGTGTTTGTTTTTGGCTTCTAGGGGTTTTCTGATCTGTGCCAAAAGGGTCACTGATTACGTGTCATTTATTTGCTGAAGAAACAAGGTGTTTTGGGTTCTTTGGTATATCTCACCTTTTTCAGTTTGTTGGTGTCTGGGATTCTAAAGCTGCTTTTGGTTAGTTAAACTCTGTGGCTAAGGTGGATGCATGGAAAGTAGATCACATCAACACATTCTTGAGAGTTCTTCCTAGATATGATTTTTGGATATAATAGTTTGTTATCATCATAAAAAGGAGAGAGAAGAGAGAGAAGGACCTTCAATTAGAGGATATGTTTTTCTTTTCTTAATATTTACAGCAGTCATTATGTAATGTTCACAAGCCTTTCTTTTTTCTTTATAATATTGTAAACCAGTAAGAGGTATCATAGAATAAACAGCACTGGACAAATTTGGAAGGACAGGCTGCAATTAGAAAAAATGATCGCTCTTTTCTATTTTATTTATTTATTTATTTTGCAACCAAAGGAGTAAGGACAACCATGACCTACCAGCTCTCAAAAGCTGGCTTGGTTCAGTTGGTTCACCATGATGTCACAATGGAATCTTTAATTTTTTGCATTAACATGCATGATTGTACCCTAGAACGTTAAACAAATACTCAGAGCAGAACCACACACGTAATGTCAAAACACCGCAAAACAAAAACGAAAAAAAAAATCAACAAGAACAATGTACAATTTGATCATATTGGCTTCGTACTATTCCATCCATTTCTTATTACAAGACGTTTTATTTTTTTTCCTAAAGCTAGCAACATTTATAATATCAAATTAGTCTTATTATAACAGCATTTAATATATTTTGATAATATGCTAGTTTTGTGTCAAAAATATTTTTTAAAAAAATTGATTAAATTTTTAAAAGTTTAACTAGAAACAAATGAAAAGGACTTGTACTATAAAATAGAGGGAGTACAAAATTTGACAAAAAAAACAAGTAAATATTAGATTTTTGAGCTGAATTCTGAACCAAAGCAAATTTGTCTTGTGTGTGGTCAGGGATTCGGGTGCGAGGAGGGGAGCGTGTTGTGCGGCATCTTCGACGGGCACGGGCAGTGGGGCCACTACGTGGCGAAGGCGGTGAGGGAGTCGCTGCCGCCGGCGCTGCTCCGGCGGTGGCGGGAGGCCGTGACGCTGGCGGCGCTCATCGACGGCGGCGAGAAGCGGCTCTGCGAGTGCCGGCCCGACCTGTGGCGCCAGTCCTACCTGGCCGCCTGCGCCGCCGTCGACGCCGAGCTCCGCGCCAGCCGCCGCCTCGACGCCGTCCACAGCGGCTGCACCGCGCTGTCCCTCGTCAAGCACGGCGACCTCCTCGTCGTCGCCAACGTCGGCGACTCGCGCGCCGTCCTGGCCACCGCCTCCCCCGACGACGGTGGCGGCGCCCGCCTCGCCGCCGTGCAGCTCACCGTCGACTTCAAGCCCAACCTGCCCCGTAAGTTCGCCGTCAAACACTCACGGAGACATCTTCCAGTCGTTTACATGTTATAAAAAAATTAAAATAATAAATTAATATATAATAGATTACTCCCTGCAAAAAAAAATGTTTTTCTACAACTTGTATAAGTTATTTATTTTAAAGACAACTTGTATAAGTTAAACTTGAATGGAGTCATTTATCACATATTAAGCTACGTTATTGTTTTCTAAAACCTTTTTATAACCATTTACATGACATAACCAACGAGAGGATGTCTCTCTGGAGTTTAGAATAATTTCTCTGCTTAATATAAGAGTATGTCCTACCGCTATTGCTGATGTTTGCATTGCGTGGATGCAGAGGAGAGGGAGAGGATCATGGAGTGCAACGGGAGGGTGCAGTGCCTCGCCGACGAGCCCGGGGTGCACCGGGTGTGGCGGCCGGACAGGGAGGGCCCAGGCCTCGCCATGTCGCGCGCCTTCGGCGACTACTGCGTCAAGGATTACGGCGTCATCTCGGCGCCGGAGGTGACGCACCGCCGGATCACCGCCCAGGACCACTTCGTCATCCTCGCCACCGACGGGGTAAACAAACAAACAAAATACATATACTTATCATCTCTATTTTTTTTAATATATGACATCCTTAATTCTTATTAAAAAAATTTAAGTAAATATCTTGTTTTTTTTACTTGATTTATCGAATTTTAAGCAATATTAATATTTTTAAGATTTGCATATATTCTTTTAAATAAGACGAATAATCAAATGTTACAAAAGAAAATCATCAATGTTATATATTAAGAAATGGAGAGAGTACAAAATAAAATTCATTCCATTTTTTTAGGACAAACATCTCAACTTGTTCGTCTTCGTCTGCGCGGCAGGTGTGGGACGTGGTGTCGAACGAGGAGGCGGTGCAGATCGTGGCGTCGGCGCCGGAGAGGGAGAAGGCGGCGAAGCGGCTCGTCGAGTTCGCCGTCCGGGCATGGAGGCGCAAGCGCCGGGGCATCGCCGTCGACGACTGCTCGGCGATCTGCCTCTTCTTCCACTCGCCGCCGTCCTAAACAACACACACGCTGACACGCACGCAGCCAACAAAAACCGCACACGCCGACGACAATGTCGCCGTCGTCGTTGAGAGGCGCCACAAAAAGGAAAAAAAAACGCAGATTGTTACATGCCAGAAGAACAATGCAATTTGCCGCCATGATTGGGACGGTGCACGATTGACCTGACCTGCCGGTGATGAACTCTGCTGCTGCTAGTGGATGACCGGGAAAAATCCAATCCTCCGGCTTTCACACCACCGTCATTGTCAAAAAGTTGTCCGAGATTCAATTCAACAGCAGCCACAAGAAAAAGGCAGGGAAAAAAAAGATGCATTTTGTCCTCATTTTTTTTTTTCTGCATGTATCATATGGCTCCAGAATTTCTGTGGTGGTGGTGGTGGTGACAAAATAGTCACTGTTATTGTTGTGGTACATCAATCATTCAACTCTCCCATGAAGAGGGTCATGAATCACAATCTTCCTCTGAAAGTCTGAACACTATGTGGCCCGAAAAATTGGAATTTTGGTAGTATTATGCACTGAAGCATCAGGGATTATTTAGCAGAATTGTGAGGAACACCACCAACCGTCAGATTTGAGCGACAGCGAAGCGGATGGAAGTTCGATCCATGGTGGCTGTGGGAGTCGACGGAGTCGTCTTCGTGGAGCTAGCTAGCTCGCTAGCTACCCGCCATAGCGGCTTTTTAGCGATTCTGGAGGCTCCTCTTCCATGATGCCGGCTCCGGTAGTGGCCAGGTATTCCCTTATTGTGGTTGTCCGGTCACCCAGATAGGTGTGGTCTAGGAAGTTGCTGTATGCTGGTTCTCCAAGATTTTTCGCAGCGAGGACACTGCAAATTAAGCAATCAGTATCGTGAAAGGCGACTCTAATAGCAGAATGGCCAAGATTCAACATGCCTAACAAAGTAATGGCTGATAATGACATTTCAATAGAAAATGTGCTGCTAATGGATAGTTCAAAACAATGATTTCCCTTTGCTTCAGAAATGCATCTCACTTTGAGATGACCCAAAGCAATAGCATTTTGGTTAGAAATGCATCTTGCTTTGACATGCCATCGATGGGCTGTACCCACTGGAATAAAAAAATAAAATGCCTAACCAGTGGAGTTAATCAGTTGATAGGTGTTCAGTGGTTTCAAATAGAACAAGATACATTTTATGATGTTAATCATAGGCCAATTTAAGTTACTAAAAAAACAACTCTGCAGACTGCACATAAGATGTTAGAACAGAAAGCACTCACCAATGTCTAAGATAAGCACGACAGGGTAAAATATCGTCTCTCCATATTCTATCAATGTTGTATCGGCCATAGCGCTGATAATATATTTCCTTGCTTCCTACAGAAAGAATCATGTAGTATGGAATTAGACACAAAATTATAATTCTGAGCTGTCTACTGCAATCCCTGAAAGTAAATACCTTACACCTGCCTAAGAATGCATTAATTTGACATGGACGTGTAAGGGAAGCATCCAAACTAACACAATAAATCTAATATCTGACAAAGGAAATCAACTAAATGTCCCAGTATTCACAGTTAAAAAAAAGCACACATAACAACAATCTTATAGAATCTGATAGGATGTCAGATGAAGTCAAGAACAGATTAGTCTTTACTCAAAACACGAACAATTTATATCCTGTAATAGACCTAACACTGTAACCAAATTATGAAACCTCATCAACATACGAAACAAGAGTAACACTAACTGTCCAGAATTGTCATAACACAGATATCCATACCAGTATAGTCAATGGCAAGATATTAAAATGAAATGTACAACTGATGAGAAAATCTGGTTGTGATATAGATTCAACCTTTGCATCTCACTTGGAAATATTCTTCATCGCTATAGCGTGCACAGACAACCTGAATCAAAGCAGAAAAAATAATTCCATTGCAGGGGGCAGCAGCTGAACAAAACAAGACACTACAGCTAGAATTGCAGTAACAGAATATAAGCCCTTACTGCTGGATTTGCATAAGGCACCCCATCCAGTCCTTCTGGAACAACCTGACAGCATATTAGAGATAAAGAAAAATTAACTGCAAATAATCATAAAAGACAGCCTAAATTACAGACCAGGACTTAAAAAATCTAAGCTCCAAACAGCTTGAGGTTTCCAATGAAGAAACTGAAAATCTAACTAAATAGGTTAGCATCCAATGAATTATTTGGCACCTACCGCAAGAAACCTAAACTCATGCTCCCTCTCGATGAATGCTGGGACCTGAAAATATCACTTTTCAATCCTTCCTCAGCAAAAATAGGTTCAAAAAAGCTCCATTCCTTTGCCTTAACAGATGTGAAGCATTATCACAGGGTATAAACCACAATACCTCATCCTCCTTTATTTCAAACACAGTGACAACGATCAGTTCACCCTCACATGGCTCCACACTTAAGCTTGAGAACTCCTACAAGTCAGTCCGGTGCTCCAGTGAAAATGAGAGATTTATCATAAATCCAAGAAGCAAATGCAGATTCCTAACAAAAGCACTTACTAGACTACACAACTTCAATCAAACAAATCAATCACAGAATTTTTTTTTCATAGCTTAAAAAAGCACTCTGCTTCCATTCGTTCACTGGCCATAATGAGCAAAAGCAAACAATCCCCAAATGCATATTGCAGAAAAGCTCACTCAAGCAGAAACTAAATTTTATCATGCTTGTAAAATGCAACCTTATAGCCTAGGTAGTAGTTTCCCCCACTTTTGATGTCACGCCAAACTATAATTCCATTCCAAATTGAGAAACATGTGATTCGATAGTTTCATTTCATATGGTAATCAACTTGTAGCTCCATTTCTTTTGCTTCTTTTTAGCATCTACAGTCTGCAGCGCACACTCTAACAGTAGCAACTGAGTCCCTGACCTTGGTGGCCTCGATGGCGATGCCGCGCTCGAAGAAGATCGGGGCGGAGTGGGCGAAGACGCGGCGGAACCCGCGCAGCGCCGCCACCCGGAACCCCTCCAGCTCCGGGAACGTGCTCCTCGCGCTCCGCTCTGCGACTCAGGAAGGGGGTTCAGGGGAATCCAGCGTTGGGCGGCGGCGGCGGTGGCGGAAGTGAGGTGCTCACCGGAGAGGAGGGAGCCGAAGCCGACGACGGATACGCGGCCGCCGCCGCGAGGGGCGGTGACCGCGGCGAAGTCGTCGACCGAGTTCATCTCAGGGAAGGAGCCTCCGCTACCTGTGGCGGCCGCGGAGGGGGAGGAAGCCATGAGGGGGAGGCGGCGGTGGGTGGGCTCCGGCGATCGCCGGAGGTGGAGGCGGGGAGCCGAGAGGGGCCGCGTGGGGAGGTGGCTGAGGCGATCCGGGCCGTTGGATTTTGATCGGACGGCTCCGGGTGGCCCAGGGCGGAGCGTGCAGGCGGATGCGGCGACGCCACGCATTATTCTGTTTTGATGACTATGCTGGAAATGTTGGATATGCTCCTCCATATACCAGTTCAGACTTCAGAGACGAAAATTAGTACTCTGTATATATAATTTGTATTAGTTAAAAATAGAATCTTTATCGGTATTTTTATTTTTTTTCTTCAGTCACTTTACTCTATTATATTAAATCTTGTTTGTAATCGACCGACGACCATCTCTCTATCTATAAGTGTGCCTCTAATCCATTTATTCATGTCCTCTAATACTACTACTCACCGTTGCTCACTGCTCCTCTTTCTCTCCTACCACACAAATGTGGCCAGGGACGGAGCTAGAACGAAATGGAGGGTATCACTTGCTTAATTTACTTTAACTTTAGATCAAGTTTAAACTGATTTAGGTGTCTAAGTTTGTATTGAGGGAGTGCACACATGGTAAAAATAGGTGAGATTCAGCTAAATTTTTTTTACCGGGTTCCTGGGCACCCCCTCACATACTCTACCTTCACCCCTGAGTATCGTGATACAACTAATAGCCGCTCGTCCTCACCGATAAGGGTGGCGCAACTTCAAACATTAGCACGTCCATAAAGCTTTAAAGTTTAGTAGTTTGGATTGTTGCCATGAGGTATATGTTGGGAGCAGAGTGACCTTCTATCTATTTTATCTTGGTCCCTATTCCCAATAACAAAAAATGCACATGGAGAATAGGGGATGGTGGCAAGGTGCATATTTGAAGAGATCAGTGGATCCCAGGGGCCGCTAGGCTAAATGTTATGGGCAAGAAAGAGAAATCAAGATTAAAGTTACAGATGAAATCCTAATAATCAAGCTTTCACCCTGAATATCTGAACATTTTGTTGCCTGGCATTACGAGAAAAATGGTATCTCAGTGCACAGTGCTTATAAATTGACGCTAACAGAAATAGAACTAAAAGAGGGAAATTCTTCTAGCAACACTAATAACGGGAGTAGATATTATAGGTCCATGATCTGGATAGCAAACGTGCCCCAGAAAGTTAGAGTGTTCGTTTGGCGCCTCGCACGAGAAAATCTGCCTACTCAGGCTAATAAGTTTCAACGGCAATTAGTGACATCAAAAATTGCACAATAGTTTTCATGTAGTGGTGAGATGCACAAAAGCCAAAGCTTTGCGACATGCTCTGCGCAAGATTTGGGGTCTCCCAGGGGGAAGCTCTTTTTTAATTTTTCTGGGTCGGATTGGCTGCTTATGCTTCTAAGCTCCGTACTAGCTAAATCCCTTTAGCTGGTTTGGAGAGCTTGGTATTTACGTAATGATGTTGTCCATTGCAAAGGTGAGGAGGTGTTGGGTATATCTGCAACATTTTTACAAGCTACCATGGCTCATTTGTGCAAGCCATGGGACAAGAACCTGATCAGAAAGGAAAAGTAGTTTTGAGTGAAGTATAGATTAGTTCCCTAAACCTGAAGATAAATAGAACTTTAGGCATTGGTTGCAGTTCATGGGAATTGCCAGAACTTGGTTGGGCTAATATTAATGTTGATGGTGCTTTTTGTGCAGGCTCAGGCAATGCGGGTATTGGCATAATCATTCATATAGTTCCGGTTCAGTCTTGTTATCGTCTTGAAAGTACATTCGCCACAGGGCGTCGGCGGAAGAATTAGAACGGTTTGCTTGTAAGGAAGGTTTAGAGCTGGACGTCGAATGGGTGCATATACACCAGTAGTGCTAGAAACAAATTGCATGTTTGTAGTTAATGCACTAAAGCCGCACTAAGAGAATCAATCCTAATGGTGTTATACTATCGCCGAGATGCAAAGTACAGAGGAGTTGCTAGTAGAGGTGAAGATTCGTCATGTTAGAAAGATGTTGCAATAGGATAGCTCATGAGTTAGCACGGCTGGCTAGTAGAAGAAAACATTGTGCGGCATGATGGGAGTATGTTTCCACTTGCATACAAGGCCTTATTCTCAAAGATTGTAATAGCCATGTTTCTTGTGAGTAAAGCACACTCTTTCTAAAAAAAATCGCCACTAGTTCATAGGGGTGGGCGTAAAATTAATTATGGAAAACCGATCTATCGACTTAACCAAACAGTTTTCCGATCTTGCATTTTTTTCGTCAATTTTAGTTCAATCTTGGGTGTTTTCGCATGGTTCTCTATTTTGACAAACGACGAAGCCAAACAATTGAGGCCCGCTTAATTTACATTATTAAGTGAATTATTGCTATAGATTTTATGCACGAAACAAATAAATCATTTCAATAACTCGGTGAATAAGTTAAAAACAAACAGGCCCGAATCACATATGTGCACCAAAATGAAAAGGTACACTGGAGGTCCCTCATCTTGTCACCTTACAAAATCGTCCTTGAACCACAAAACCGGATACAACACATCCCTCAACTTACAAAACCAGTGTAAACGAGATCCCTCGCGGTTATGGCTGACGTGGCTCCTACGTGGCTCCTTTGACTAGGTCTTTGTCCTATGTGGTATTGACGTGGCACATGCGTAGGGCCCACGTGTTAGTTACACTAGAAAATAATAAAAAGAAAACCACGTCAATGCCACATAGGACAAAAACGTAGTCAAAAGAGCTACGTAGGTGCCACGTCGGTCAAACCTGGGCTCAATAGTTAATACCGCCGAGGTATCTCGTTTGCACTGGTTTTGTAAGTTGGGGATGTATTGTATGAGGTTTTACTGTTCGAGGACGATTTTGTAATTCGTTGACAAGATGAGGGACCTACGGTATACTTTTTCCGCACCGAAAAGGTATACGCTACGCTGGATGAGAGAAGCCCAGCCCACAATGAGCAAAGCTAGCATTTTGACACCTTCCTGCTCTCCCCGCGCGCTCCCTCTGTCCGGCAGTTTTTGGCGGGAGCCGCGGCCTCTTTCCCGCCATTTCCCTCCGCCCTAACCCTCCCCCCCCCCCCCCCCCCCCCACCACAACCACCACCGGCCACCGCCCGCAAGCACCGACGCGACGCGGCCTCGGCGGCCTCTCCATCACCGGCGGCCACCGCGCCACAGCAAGGGTGAAATTGTAAAGGAGGTAGGAAATTATCCTTCTGAGATGATTCCCCTTTTCCCCTTTTCTCGATCTCGAGTCCCCAAACTGTTCCCCTTTGCTGTTCATTTCGATCTGAAATTGAGAGCAGATTTTAGTAACCTCTCGCTCCCCAGCGCCGTGCGCGCCGCCGACCCTGCTCCCCCAGCCACCCGCGTTGCCCCCCGCCTCCCGGCGCGCACGACGACGACGGGTGGTTTCCCTTCGGCGAGGCCGCTCCTCCTACCTCCGACGAGCCCCTCCTCCCTCCGGCGGCCACGACGCGAGAGCTGAGCGGCGACGACGCAAGAGCGGAGTGGGCGACGCGGGCGAGCCCCCTTCCTTCCCTCTTCGGCCAGGCTATCATTTTCTTCCCACCACCCCCACCGTGCCGCCGCCCCGGCCGACCTCCTCCCCTTCGCCTCGCTTTGCCCCCGCCACAATCACCGGCCCACCGCCCGCGGCCGCCGCCACCCACCGCAGGTCCGCCGCCTCCCAGGCCCTCCCTCTAAACCCGATCCCCCCAACTTCCCCCTCCCCAGCGCCACCTTCCCCCACCCCACCCCGAAACCCAACCACTAACCCTAGTTGTCGTGACGCGGTCGGAAAACGCGCGCGACTTCTCTCCCTACCTGGCCATCGCCACCCCGGCGCGGCACTGCCCTTCTGTGTGCTAGTACCTTGATCTGATTGTGTGCTGAATCTTCTCTCTCTCTTTCTCTCTCTGTTCAATGCTCTATGCTCTATCTTTCTCTCTTTCTACTTCTCCTTTTTTTATTATTTTCTTCGAGCGAAAATATTTTTAAGTTCTTTGCTAGCAGTTCTGGTTTATTAGATGAAGCACAAAGGATAACGAGTAGCTCTTCAGTACTCCAGTTTGTTTTTTCAATTCCGGTGATGCATTTTGTCCTACGTTTGCCTTTGAAAGTGTGTAACGAATGGTCATCAGTTGCAGCCTAAAATACGCTGTAATTTCATTTCCTCTATGTTTCACATCGACGTTCTTCAAACCAAGCACCATCTTTATCTCATCGTACTCTTTTTTGTTTTCTGTTTTACCAGTTTTTTTTTACAGTTCTTGATCTGAAACGGAGACAATGGCGAGAGAGGATGAGAAGGCTGACGCAATGGAGATTGATGGGCAGCATCAGCAAGTGGCCAACACCGCCGTACCAGATGGCTTCAATGCTGATTACCTCAGGATCTACTATGGTACAGTAGTGCTTCCCTTTTTCTTCTAATCCGCCACTGAAATTTAAGAAACTAGGCACCAGACAGTGTGCTCTTTTTGCTGATTATTTTCTCTTTGTCTTGGATAATCCGCAGAAAGCTGCGATCTTGAAGCAAAATATTTTTCTAGAACACACTGGAGCAAAATATTTTGGCATATATATACACTGTAATAGTGGTTGTAGGTAATCTATATGCTTTCTCCATGGAAAAATGTCGCAACTTCTTGCAACTGCAGTCCAGAATAATAGTTATTGGTCTGTGCAGTTCAAATGGTTTTAACTAAAAGATGCTTAATTTAATATCACAGTTGATCTGCCATATAATTTCCACTTAAACAATTGTGATGGCCAACTGCCAGTGCTAATGGTTTTGTATGTATGCTACAATTGCAGGAAAGCTCTTCCCTCATGTTGATTTCTTCAAGTGGCTTTCATATGGAAATGGTCTGTTGTTGTTGGTTCAGGATCTAGTTGTTTACTAATTGTTTCATCTATATAATACGAATTTGTCCTTTTTTAGACGGGAAACATCCAGGATGTGATCAGTCGTATGTTGGACGTCGAGAGTTCTCATTTACACTAGAGAATGACATCTACGTTCGTTTCCAGTCCTTTGATAGCGTGGCTGAAATGGAGAACTCTATCAAGGAAAAGTGCCCTTTCAAGATTGATATTGGACCTGTATATAGTGTAGATGTATGTTGTGTAATCACTTAACTTGGACATTATTTTTTTTATGTGAGTTTGATTTTCCGCATTAAGCTCTGTTTTTTCAATATCTTGATGAAAACTGTTTATTTTGTAGCCTGCAAAGCGGCATGCCTATGCTCAATCAGGCAACAACGTCTTTGTGCCAGTTGAGAGAGAACTTATTTTCGATATAGTAAGAAACCTGCAAAATTTCTCCTGTGGATTTTATTTGTATTTTTCATCAAGCATCTGTTCCAAGCTGTGAGGCATTTCAACATCACAGGATATATCAGATTACGATGATGTTCGCTATTGCTGCTCTGGAGCTGATGTCTGCATGGAGTGCTGGCCTTTAATGACCATTGCTATCAAAATCTTGGATGCTTCACTTAGAGGCATGTTGTTTTGCAATGCAATTAATTAAACACACATGCAAACACTCGCTTTTATTTCAGTTTAATTGACTTGAATTGCAGATCTTTAGTCAACTATTTTCTTGGTTAGTTTGACTTGTAACAATTGAAAGTATGTGTTTACAGATGATTTTGGTTTCAATCACATATTGTGGGTATATAGTGGTCGTCGTGGTGTCCATTGCTGGGTTTGTGATAGTAGAGCAAGAAAGTATGCATGATGTTTTTCCCTTTTTCATTTCTCCATTTAGTTTGGTGATCCTAAAATGCTCTGGTACTTTCCTGTTAGGCTCAACAACGAACAAAGGGCTGCAATTGCTGATTATTTTCGCGTCTACAAGGTGGTATTCCTTTATTCATGATCCTAGATGTCGTTTTGTTGCTGAAATCTTCCTGTATGGATCTTTTGCAGGGTGGTGAAAATACGATGAAGAAAGTTTCATTGACTGGAGCTGTTCTCCATCCTTTCCTTGCGTATGTCTGAATGATCTCAGTTCCTTGTTTTTCAATCATAAGTTGAAATTGTATATGTTTTATCAGTACAAATTGAAATATAGCCAAATAGGCTGTAATGAAACTCTATTTTCCTACAGACGGTCATACACTGATGTTCTGAAAGGCTTCTTTGAAGATAAGCTACTACTTAGCCAACAACTATTTGCATCTGAGGAGAGATATCAGAAAATACTTGATCTTATCCCTGATGAAAGTAAGAATGCAAACCTTAACTAGAACAATATATTTTAGTATCATCACTGCTATCAAACCATTTCTCATTTGTCAAGTCTTGAATGTCTTCAATCATTGTAAAGTGTGTGTCATTTCTAGATGTTGCTAGTGAGCTCCATGATAAGTGGCAAGGAAACAGACGATCTTCTATTTCAAAGGAAGATGTAAATGCTACCAGGTGGGAGCAACTAAAGTCAACCTTGCAGTCAGGAAAACACAAGGTCCATGCATAATCTCTCGCAATCCTACTTAATTTTATTTGCACATTTACTGGTGTATCAGTTTTAATCATATCGAGTATTGTATTCTCGAGGTTTCATCACAATGTTACATGTGGGATTGGTTGCTAATTTTCATTCTATTTTGTTGAATGCACAATGATGTTTTTTTTTTCATGTTTCTTCCACAGGGGCTTCGAAGATGTATAGAAGAGATTGTCTTCTCATACACATATCCTAGACTTGATATGGAGGTAAAAGCAAAACGATCAACAGCACATGTTTGCAGCAAGTCATAAATTCATTTTCTGATTCCTATTCGACATTCTGGTGCATATCAGGTTTCTAAGCACATGAATCATTTGCTGAAAGCACCCTTTTGCATACACCCGAAGACAGGTTAGACCCAAGTATATTTCCTATTTTTTCATCTAATGAATGAAGATACTTGTTTGCACTAGAAACTGTTTTTGTTGGCTGTCCGTGTGTATACACTTCGTGTATCCGTTGGAAATCTCTAATGCAAATGTTCCTTGAGTGACACATTTTTCACATTTATATGCATTCATTTCATGCTTACACTTATACGTAAAATATGTTCTGCCTAATGAGTTCTAAGTTCTAACAATTGTTTTGAAATCTTTCCCTAGGCCGTGTTTGTGTTCCAATCGATCCAAATAACTGTGATGATTTTGATCCTACGACAGTTCCAACTCTGTCACAGGTGTGTCCTTAGAGCCAAGCATTAAAAAAAACAATATTCTGAGATCTAATTTACCTTTGGAAGCATCATTATGCTAAACTGACTTGTTGAAACTGTTGAACTTAACCAGCTTTTGGGTGAGCTCAATGCAGCTGGTCTTCGTACTGATTCTGAAAACGGCAAGTGATAAATTCTTCACTTTTAGGAATCCTGTGTTTAACTATTTCATCCTAAAACTTTCAGTGATCTTTTGATAATCCTTTAATGGACTACAGATTGGGAAAGAACATCTCTTGAAAAATCTATCAGGTTTTTCAGGGCATCGTTTCTGCAACCATTGCTGAAAGCCTGCAAGGTATGCAGTATTTCCTTCTACATTTCTATGGCAGGAAACTGGATATGCTTGTTTAGTTCCCAGTCAATCTCTTCCATATCTTAAACTGAATGGATCGGGCCCTATACTCGTATCTACTCTCGCTACAGCGCTTTGCTTGCAAGAAATCGTCTGTGTTCTTCTGGTTCCATAGTTTTCCAGGGTCAAGTCTCAGTTTCTGCCTTGTAATGTTGCAGGAGGAATTAGAAAGCTCATACAATGCCAAGCTCCAGCAGTCCAAGAATACCTTGACTTGGTAAAATTCACTCAACTTCCAGCTGATCTTACCAACCTAGTGCCCCATGAAAAGCTTCTTCTCCATGAGACGAACCACTGAACCCGGCATTGGCTGTGTTAACTGGTTAACCACAACGCTCTATGAATGAGGAGCAAAATACTCTCCGATGCTGCTGTCATGTTAGCTTTGCTCCAAGGAAGTTGCAATTGTAGAATATCCAGTGACCGTCTTAGAGGCAGCTTGGTGCTGGCTTGAACCTTTTGATCTTTCATGTTGCTGACTTGATGTTATTAGGATAAATTCCTTTAATTGTTGTGAAATGAATTTTATAGGATTCCTATAAGTCGCTGAAAAGAATGATTGTTAAATGCTTCATACCAAGCTAGTAGCCGCTATAAGATCTAGACTAGAATTAGTAAAATTAACCATCAAGATTGCTTAGAGCAATGCTCGGTTTGTGGTTGATGACTGTTGAGAATTTCTGTAAGATGCTGTAAAAATAAAAGTTTCATCGTAGTTTATTTTACATATAGAATTTAATATGGCAATATGGCATTCAATTACCATATTCTCCGCTAATAATATGTTGCTATGTTTTTGTCAAACTGAAATAAGTTCTAACCTTAAAAAAACAAAGTTAAAACATCTCATGGCCTGTTTGGCGGCTTGTCAAAGCGCCGCCTAGCAGCCGGACGCTAGTTCTGTGGACACATTTGTTAAGAAAGTAGGTATAATTAAATGATGAAAATGTGTGATTGGTTGAAAATTGGAGGTAGGTGGGGAAATTGAATTGTGGAGGTTTGTGATTGGTTGAAAATGAAATGTTGGTAGAGAAGTTATATTTTAGGATAAATTCTAAAGGCTAAATGTTATATTTTTGGGACGGATGGAGTAAACAACTGTTGGCTGTCAATAAGCGCTGAATGTTGCAGCCAAACAGACCCTTATAATATAAAACGGAAGGATTATTTACAAGAGTGGTTGGGTGTGTTACTGTCCAAACTAATTTTTTTCATGTGATGCTAATTTATACAATTATACTACACTGTTAAACAGCCCCGTCTCTGTCTGATCCATTCCGTCATGGATGGAATCATGTGACCAGGATATGATGTACGACGGCAGAATAGTTATCTATATTTTTTTTAAGACAAGCGATAATAAGATCGGTAAGAAGAAACAAAAAGGTAAATTGAAAAACGACCATAGTAGGCCAAAAGGAGCTAACCAGAGTATCTTGGAGGAATCCATTTGTGCATGCAATTAGTTGCTGCTCTGTGTTTGCCTGGGAGTTTCTCTCTTTTTTGAACAGCATATTATTTTTCCAATCACAAAATGCAGAAGATAGGCGGGGTGGGGCTAATTGGTGAACGCGTCAGGGCAGCCTAGTAGCCCATTAGCCTCACTTCTCCTACTCGAAATCTCATCCTACTTTCTTTTCACCTTATCAATATCTTCATGATATGTTGACCGCTGACAAACGGTTCTTTGGCTTTGGCAATGGGAGCAAGAGCAGGACGTGTTAGTGACAGTGTTGAGGATGGCCTCTCTCCATCGAACTCCCTCCGGCGTCAAATCCAAGTCAGCTTCGATTCCTTGCCTCCTCTGCTGCCATCGTCCGACCATGCCGCTACTTGGCCTTGTCGACGCCAAAAGGTGTTAATGGCCGGGAAGTCCAACCTGTTCCTCTTCCCCTTCCCCTCACTTTGCTCTCACCATCAACACCGACACACCACCAGCTGTTGACCTCATGGTTTCACCCACTGCCAGTCCGCCGCCTCACCACTCGCCCTTGTTCTCCTCCAACCACCGTATCGCCGCCTCCTAGACCATCCCTCTAAGCCTGATCCTCACCTCCCCATCCCAGCATCACCCTTCTCCCAAACCCACCCCTGAACCCTAACCTGAGCATTTATCATAACGTTGTCAGGACATGTTCACGAGATGCCCATATCGCATACGTCCGTAGCTTAGGCTTTCTGAGATAGGTGCACCACATATATGTAGAGCTAGTCACTTGTGTAGGCTTGTAGTTATATACTAGCTCGTTGCTGGTCGTTGTCTGAATGTGTCCCTAACTCACTAATAACATATTTCTTTATCAAACGAACTGAAAGACCTAGTATTATATTGTGATTCCATTTTACAGTGCCCTTACATCGGTAGGCCTTCAGCTTATAACATATAGCCAAATTTGAATTTTATAATTAATCTAGAAACTTTTCATCTATCCCTTTCTATTTTCTAGCCTTGATTTTTGGGTGTTACGAGTAAGAGTGTAAGTGTATGGAAATCTTTGCCCTCGGATGATTTTTGTTGCTTCGTTAATTTTTATCAACTTATAATCAATAGGAGCTACGTGAGGTAATTGTATTGGTTTTGTTAAAAAAATATTAGCATCCTGGTAGCTACACTGGAACATAATTATAATGTTGCCCATATTTCCAACACGCTAACACAAAAGTACTGAGTGGTAACAATTATACAAGATCGTGTGTACTAATCGATAGATTGTGGCTCATTTAACGAGCCAGATGGGGGATAACTTCAGAACTCATAAGTCATGGAGAATACTCACATAACCGGGTCTATCTACAAAGCGCGGTTTCTTTGATCAATCGACATAAACTGCATAAAAAGCTTGGGCTTCGAGAAAGTGTGAACTCTTTGATTGACTAATCGTGCAAAACAGAGTTTGGGCATATGATATATTGGCAATCCGTTGTTAGCCAAATAGCACTTACTAATGTTGGGATACACATAGGCTACAATAGTATAAATCAAAATTTTTTTACCATGTAAACCAGGAACCAAGCAAGTATAAAATCATGAATCGTTACCACTCGACACGTTGTGCAGTGGAAGTAGGTGCTAATAAGCCGAAGGAACATTGGCGACGTAGCGTGCGTCAATGTTGAGGAAGTAGTCGATCGCAGCAGCCCGACCTTCTGCTCCTCGTGCGTTCGCCTCACTGTGCTACCACGCCAATTAGCACCGCAAACCAGCGGCGCCTCTACAGGTATCCACACGTCCATGGATGGAACGCCATGCGCGGACGTGCTAGCGCCCGCGTGTGGCTAGGGTTTGGCTCGAGAGAAGAGTGACGGCTAGGGTTTCTCACAGAACACCAGTCACATCACCTCAAGAATATATAGAATCCATAACTGGGCCTTCGAGGCCCATAAGAGTCCTACTCAGATTCCTATCCGAATTGAGCACATATTGAATCTTTATCCAATCCCCTTATTCCGACCCGTTAAGTGTGCGACCCCATAGATTCATGTACACTCGGCTGCAACCCGAAAACTCCTTTTCGGTCCACATGTCAACAGCGGCTACTAGCAGAATATATTGACCCATCAGACATACATAAAGATCATATCGGCTGAACCTCTAGTGTACACTTGTATGAACCCTTTTGCCTCATGATATCGATTAGGCTTAAGGCTAGATATGTGCCATCCTTTAATAGCTCAATCATTCACTCGATCTTGTGATAGATTATTTAACCTGTGATTGACTCCTCAATAATTTTTGGCATGATCATATATTTCCATAATCTATAACATCGAGGGACCCATGATATCTTTTCATAGAAGAGGCAAATCCCATCATGATTATTCATATCCCACTACATGTTTCATAGCATACCAAAAGATTACTTTTATAACTACTCAATCACAGAGTAGCATTTGGCAGCCCCTAAGTAAGCTACTGCATATGTTGGGAATCATGATAATCTTAGGACTAAAGGATTCTACACCAACACTAAATGAGATCACCGATGGCACGTCATATATAACTTTTACAGTGTCTCATGTTGGGTCTATCCAACAACATGTTCCCTAACATGTGTCCACATTATTAATTTGGTATCTCCATACCATGATTCATGATACATGATCGTCAATCAATACACGTGCTGATCATTAAACCATATTTGTTCCATATATGATATTTGATCAAGGATCCTTTAGAAATAGCAACATACAACATAAAGAGTCTTATGAACAAATAACATATTCATTAACCAATAATGAGTTATATATTTCAAGGAACAATGTATGATAAATATGTAAACATATTATGTGATACAATCATCTCTATAATTGCCTTTAGGACATATCACCAACAACTGCCTCCTCAGCCGATACACCCCGAAGACATCGTTCCACCTGCTTGCAAAATGCCGATATACGAGAAGAGTGTGGTCCCTCTTATTTGCATAGACCACACATGAATAGCTACATCCGGTAACGTGGAGCGCAACCAACACGGTGCACGAGTGATGGTTTCTTAGTGGCATCTACATAAGGGTTGCCAAAAAAGAGTATGTATGCTTATCCTGTTGACTATAAGAAAATTTTGGAAGGAGAAAAAACTAGAGAGTTTTTCTTTTTTTAAGGGAAACAAGCACGAGAGTGTGCAATTTTCATTAAATATAGCGGGAGAAAAATACAGCCCTTAAGGGCAAGAAAAGGTAAAAGCTAAAGGAAGAAAATCTATACACTATACAAGGTGTGGTATAAGCCCACGTAGGTATTTTGCCACCACCAGAAACCAAAGAGTTTTTCAGCCCAAAGAAATACCGGCACTGTTTTCGCTCACGAAAATCAAGGAGATAAAGACTTGGACTCTAGCAGGGGCAAAACGTCTGTCTAAGTTCGTTCCTTATGAGAGCTACTATACGTACGATATTCCACGTACGAAGCTCATACGAAGTAATGTTTTTAACGGAAACCAGTCATGTTGTCCAGCCGTTTCCTAGCGATGCAACGAGTAACGTTCGCCACCGTCAGCAATCATACGAGAGTCGTACATAACAGTCGTATGCATAGTATTTTCACACTACTAGAAAAAGCATTTTTTCCAACGTGAGGGCCTTATTTTCACAGGCGGACATGACCCTTAGAGCCAAATGACTGTCTATAAAAATATAAATTCGGGTGAAATTTGATGCCCGCTTGATTTTCGCAGGCGGACCACTTAAGCGGCGCCTGCGAAAATCGCAGGCACCATCGCAGGCGCCACTTAAGTGGTCCACCTGCGAAAATAGACTTGAATATAAATAGACTTGCGGGCCCTAATTTTTTTCTAAGTCCTCACACTCTCAGCCCTCCCCTCGCTCCACACCTCTCCTCCCTTCCTCACCGGCCTCTCCCCTCCCCTCCCCTCCCCTCTCCTCCTCTCCCCTCCCCTCACTTCTACTCTCCCCGGCGGCGGCGGCGGGCGGTGACGGCGGAGGGCGGCAGCGGTGAGGAGGCGCGGCCGAGGAGGGTAGCGCGGCTGAAGTCCGGGCGGCGGCGGCAGCGGCTCCCCTCCCCCCTCCCTCCCAGATCTGGCCGGAGGAGGGAGGGGGGAGGCCGGCGGCGGCGGCAACGGCGTGGAGCGGCGGCGGCGCGGTCCGGGCGGCGGCGGCGGCTCCCCTCCCCCTCCCTCTTAGATATGGCCGGAGGAGGGAGGGGGAGGCCGGCGGGGGCGATGGCGGCGGCTCCCCTCCCCCCTTCCTCCCAGATCTGGCCGGAGAAGGGAGGGGGGAGGCCGGCGGGGGCGACGGCGGCGACGACGGCGCGGGGCGGCCGGCAGCGTCTCCCCTTCCTCCCTCCCTCGCAGATCTGGCCGGGGGAGGGCGGCGGCGAACCGCGTGTGGCAATTTTTTTTTTCGTTTTTTTGCATTTTTGCAGGTGGGCCGAGCGGCCAAAACTAATCTTCGCAGGCGGGAGGGAGGTCAGCCTACATCACAACGACTGCGAAAATCGATTTTCGCAGTCGTTGTGATGTAGGCTGACCTCCCTCCCGCCTGCGAAGATTAGTTTTGGCCGCCTGCGAAAATTAGTTTTCTAGTAGTGTCGGTTCCTTATGCGCTCTTTCTCTTAATTCAATAAAATTGATACTATCCTACGGCGGTTCGTTTTAGGGGAAAAATAAGGATTGATTTACAGGACTAGTGACTAGTACACCCCATCCGATCCGTAGTAGCTGTACACTGTACACTGTACAGATCCCATGTGAAAAAAAATCAGGGCGATGATCCCCTGATCCCATCTGGACGTACACGCACGAACGTCGGCATGCACCCGGTTGGTTGGTAGCTCCTCGGCGAAATCATCAAACGAATGAATGCGCGCTTGAGTCAGTGCGCATATGCACTGGAGTTGGGACACGTGGCCGGGGCCTGCAGGCTCGTCTCGTCACAGCAAATGCTGCTAGCTATACTCCCTGCATCCCAGAAGGTAGCATGGGTCTAATCCTATCAAGATAGAGGTAGTAGTGATACTCTTTATGCTAAAATAAATAAATATAAAATAGATTATGATATATGCTCAGATTAATTATACAGTGCAAGACGATGTATGTTTATATTGTAAAACAGAGGAAGTAGTAGTATTTAATTTAAAGTTGATTTATTTTGAAACAAATACGTACTACGTGGTGACGACCGGTTGGACCGGGACCGGATTCACTGCGATGCAGCCAAAGCAGTAGTTCCATGATTTTGCTCTCCGTTATTGCTTGCAGAGTGGAGCAGCGAACCAGTGGGGTTTGGTATGGTTTCCAGTGGTTGCTTCCGCTACCTCTTTGCACCTACTTTCGGGCGCATTGAACAACTGCCATGTCTTCGAGCAGGTAAAAAGGCTATAAGCCGGCTATAAACATATTTTAAAGAAATAAAGCTAGGAAGAGAGAAAAAACAGCAGGCTACAGATCTGTAGCTAGCTATAGCACGGACTCCAAGATGTAATGTGTGTATGATAGGTGGGACCATGTATTAATAGTATAGTAAGCAACTATTATATGAATTGACTATTATATTGGCTATAGATGATTTGAAGCTACTACTAGTAGGCTACACTATTAAACTTGCTCTTCTCAAGCTACTTCAAGCTTTTTATTTCTGGTGAGTGGTGACCATTCCTAGTTTCCTACCCCTCATGTTTTTCTTTCTTTATTTTTACAGCGGTTAAAAATCATCAGTGCGAGCGACATGGAATGGAGGTAAAATGTTGTGACAATTTGTTAGGGAAAAACATAAAATGTAACTTTGTTCAGGTGATTGGTAATCCGTAAAAAAATATAAACGAAGCAACTAAAATTAATTTACGAATGAACCTCCATAGCTGTATTCCCATCTATTTAGAAGGCAATGATATATAAAATATAAATTACTCCTTTCCAATCCTAAGTTAAATATTTTAATTTTTAACTATCCATTTTTATAAACTCATATAGTTTAATGTCATAAGATAACTTAGGATAAACGTGGAACAAAAGTTACACTTTTCAATCTGTTAAACAATATGTTTTTTTAAAAGTTTTCTTTACGAAAGTTGTTTTAAAAAAAATCTTATTAATCTATTTTTGAAAAAAATAACTAATACTTAATTAATCATACATTGTTACTCTGTTTTACATGCCAGAGGGATGAGTTCTCAATTCAACCGAACGAACACAACCGTAATATGATTAAAAAAAACCCCTTAAATCAACTCTAGAATTAAAATTAAGTTTTAAAATTTAAATTTTGGTTGGGTTGGCTGGTAAACCACAAACAAACGTTGGAGCTGACCTTGAAGCCTTCTAGAAGACAAAGGGAATCAGAGCTAAACATAACCAAAGGGATCACTAGCTTCTCTTCCTCTCTCTCTCTTTGTTTTTAAGATAGATCATGCGTTTGACTCTAGTACAAGTGTAGTGCCGCTACCGAATTCTCGCTGTCCTCCTCGCAGCCATTTTTATACGCCAACCTCCTCTTCTCTTCTCTTCTCCAAGAAACCACAGCCAGGCTAGCTTAGCGCGCGCCATGGCCGGAGGAGACGGCGCCACCTACAAGGGCGGCATCAAGGCCTACTGGAAGCGCCGGGGCTACGGCCGGCTCGATCCCGCCTCCTCCGCGCACCGCCGCCCGCGCCTCCCCACCGCGGAGCTCGGCGACGGCCGCGGCGCGGCAGGAGGAGCGGGGCGGTGGCGGCGAGGGTGGCGAGTACGCCGCCGCGGGCTCGGGCGGCGGATCCTGCGGGCGCTCTCGCCGCGGCGGCTGCTGGCGCGCCTCCGCGACGCGTACGTGCGGGGCATGCTCCGCCTCGCGTCCTCCGCCGCCGTCGCCGGCGGCGGCTCCGCTCTGTACGGCGGCCCCGCCGGCGGCGCCGACCCCTTCGGGCGGCCGCGGCCGCTCAGGGAGTACGACGAGAAGGCGCTGGTGGAGATCTACCGGTCCATCCTCGCGCGCGGTGGCGGCGGCGGCGGCGGGGTCGTCCCCGTCGCCGGCGACGCCGCCGCGGTGGTCGCCGTGGCGCGGCTGCCCACGGTGGCGGGAGCGTGACCGCCGCCGGATTTGGCGCGAATCCGAAGCTTTGTCACGCTCTTTTTTTTTTCTTTTTTCTTCCCTTTTTCCCCTCTTAATTTCTCTCATGCAAGACTTGTGATCCAGAATTTTCGTACTGCTGTCCTAATCGTGTCTGTTAATTAATCTTCTTTAAATCTGGGGGCTGCAATTTTGCAGTGTATTATTCGCACGTCTAATTATGCGATACTGGGTTAAATTAATCTTCTTAACGGACAGCGATTAATTGAGTTCAAGAACGAGTAAAAGTGTAAATTTACTTGTATGTTTTACTCATCGATACAAAGACTTCGAAGAAATCATTTTAATTATACTTGCGGTAGAACATCCTAGTATAGATATCCGCGATGTCCATAGCACACGCACTACGGCACTACAATCCTAATAGTGTAATCCATTTTTTAGAAAATTGAGGTGCTAGCGGCCGCATCCGTTAATCATTTCGACTAAATTATGTGCATGACATTGTTTTTTTTTTGGGGTGTGAACATGATCTTAAAATACAATTAGAGGCTTATAGGAATCTAGAGATATTGATGGTTGTGACAAATTTTATTTATTTGAATAGAACCCCTTCTCCCTCTCACAAGTCACACCTCCACCTCCATTATGAACACTAGAGGACTATTAGAGGTAGAGGAGCACATCACAATAATAGCAAAAGATGGAGTTGCAAACTGGAAGATGATAATGCTAGTGAAACAAACTACTCAGGTACTCGCAGCTATTACAATTTAGAAAAAAAGGTTCATCGCTTATCCTCTCTAATGATGCTTTGTAATTACAGGTCAACTCAACGTTTCTACACTCTACACTGTAGGGGTACGTAAGGCCTGACGATGACTTCTCAGGTTTATTTTACGGATTAAGTATAATATTCCCCCTGTCCCATAATATAAGGGATTTTGAAGGGATACGACACTTCCTAGACTATGAATCTAAATAGGCTCTCTGACCAGATTCATAGTTCTAGAAAGTGTCACATCCTCTAAAATCTCTTATATTATAGGACAGAGGCAATATTTGTTCATGATATTTGTGGCACCCGGTTACACTTACTGTACTGCTCTTAAATAATCGTCATGACATTCTCACTTCTCTCTCTGGAACGATGTGTACATATGCTAAAACAAGTGGAAAATTGCTTGTGTCACAAAGTCTATTAGCCATTGGTTGCTAATGTCTATTAGCTCATTTAAATTAGAAAAAATATAGACGACTGTTGATAAATGATCTACTTGTGTATAGAAATAAATCAAATATTATATATATTACAAACCTAATAAAGCTAATCAAGAAATGTTGCTATAGAAAGGTTTGGAGCAATACTTTTGAAAGTGTTCAAGAAATGTTATCCTCACGTCGCATTATTTTATCATTTCCGGTGGAAACTGAGAGAGAAACATTGGTTAAAGACAAGTTTGCTCATGAACCCACTTGTCAATATCACATATCCTCTCTTTCTCTCTTCCTCTTCTTCCTCATGTTGTTGCCTTCTCTCTCTTATCTCTCTCTTCCTCTTCCTCTTCCCCTTCAGTCAGGAGCGAGGCATCGCCGATGAGCAGCGATGGGGGCAGAGGGGATTGCGGCAATGAGCGACGATGGTTAAGGGAGCGAAGGGAGCCGACAACCCCGTCCTCACCTCCTCCATCGCCACGCCCTCCACTCATCTTCTTCCGCGTCACTGGATCACGCACCCGCTTGCTGGCTTCGTCGCCAAGAACTGCAAGCGCATGGGGGAAGGTGTGTCCCAGCTGTCTTCGTGCTCCTCTTCCACGAACGCCTGCAGCCGCCGGAGGAAGGGAGTGAATGGGACTTCTTCCTTTGTCCGTTGGCCTCACCACGTCTCCCACCAGCTCATCGGCCTCTCCGCCATTAGCATCCTCTCCCGCGCCCACTGTCTCCTCTGTTGCCACCGCCGTTGTCGCCGTTTGGCTAAAAAGCTGGCCCCCAAACCCATCCTTTGCTGCTCAGTATTGTGCTGGAGCAGGAAGAAGACACAGTCACCAGGGGCACATTCGTACTTTTCACAGTTTCTCTCTTCATTTGCACCAAATATAATAAAATAATAGGTCCGATGTCCAATAGCTAATTACCAAGTTTTATCTATGTCCATGAGAATGTACACGTTCTTTGGGTGGCCGTGTCTCGTAGCAAAGGCCACATTAGAATGTACTATAGCAAATTTTGCCTTATTGTTCCTATGCATGGGAAAAATCTATGGGTGTTCGTTAAAAAAAAAAGGGAAATCACCGTGTAGCCCAATCTGGCCCATAAGCTTTTACAAGGCGGAATAAGTCTATATTGCCTCCCTCAACTCTTGCCTTGAATCGTCCCCCTCAACCGCAATACCTGGTATAACGCCTCCTCTATGTTTGAAAACCAGAGCAAATTAGCACCCTTGGCTGTTTAGATAGCGATTTCATCATACATGACACTTATAGGACCCACATGTCAGTCAGAAAAAATAAAAAAAAAATAATAATCCTACATGTCAGCCATTCTAATCTTAATTATTTTTCTTTTCCCTCGTCTCTCTCCGACGAGGCGACGACGACCCGTCTGCCCGTCCGTCCGCTCCTTCCTCGGCTGGAGCCAGCAGTTCAGTTGTTCGGCTGCCGCCACCCCTGTTGCCAGGCTCCCTACGAAGGCCACGAGCCTGTTGGAACAAATCATGACTTGCATATGTCTTTGGTTTTTGCATTAGTTGCATGTAGAGAGGAACGTGATATGTTCATGTATCTTGTAAGTGATGTGTATGTGTGCATCACGTAGGTTCCATGTTTGCATGTAGAATCAGTCAGTGCTAGTGAATGGCAGCTGCGTGTGTTGCAGCACAACTAGCAACTAAACAGGTTAGGTGAATAACAAGATTAGCGGCAAGTTAGTTAGGAGCATGCAGGATTAGTGGAGCACGTTGTGGCGTGGCTCGCGGTCAGCCCGGAGGAGCGAATCTTGGCGTAAGATGCGCAGATCGTTGTATGAGTGAGTGGCTCGTAGTCGTGCGTGCGACCCGGCCGGGCTGTTAGCTATGTGCATGTACGGGAGGCTATATAAGCCGTGTAATCATCAGTTAGTTTTAGCAGATCAGCAATATCAGAGAAGCCAGCAAAGACGTGCGTCGCCGACGGAATCTGTTGTGTGTGTGTCCACCCAATTTGCTGCTCGTGTGTGTTCTCCCGTGAGTTTGTTGCTTACGTGAGTTTGTGATTTTCTTGGGCCAAAGCTAACAGAGCCCACGACAGCGCCTGGGGCGAGGGACGACAGCACGCGGAAGGCCTCCTGTAGCCCGTTGACCTCGCGCCTCCTGGTCATCGACGCCGCCCAAGGCACCATGCCCACTGGATTTGTGCGTGACGAGGCCAAGGGAGGCAAATCTGGTGGCGTCGCGCCCCTCCGCCGCCCGGCGGCACATGTCCCGTGCTCCTTCACCGCTAGGAGTGCTTCGAGCAAGAATAGGGGTGGAGGAGTGCTCGCGACAAGAAGTCTACGAAAAGGCACCGACACCGGCGAGAGGTGGCAAGAAGTGCTGTAACGCATGTCTTTCAGGCTCTCATCACTCACCTCTCGTCTCGCTAGCAATGTCACACCAAATCCTCAACACCTCAGCACACATTCACCACCGCGCCCTGCATCGGCGACTTGCCAGTCACGGCCAAGCCTTCCAGGATGTTAGCAGGGAAAATCACCATTGGCCTCTTCGGCGACGAGGTCCCCGCCGGTGCGTCCCGGCTCCTGTCGCTTGGTGTCGGCTAGTTAAGATAGTGTGGGGCTACATGCAAGCAGGACGGTGTGGTGTCACACCCGGCCATCCCGGCGCTGACCGACCGGCTAGCGGCGAAGATGGACGCCGCACGCGCGCGCAATGCGATGGGGACAGGAGTGGCGTCCACCCAACTCCCACGGCATATGGTGACGGCCGGCGAGGCAGCGGCGGCTGAACAACTGAGCTTCTAGCTTCCGTCGAGGAAGAAGCGACCGAACGGGAGAGGGAGAGAGAGAGGAGGAAGAGAGAAGCGAGGAAAAAGAAAAAAAAACAAATAAGTGCCACGTAGGACATGTGGGGTTATTGTTTTTTCTTTTCACTGACATGCGGGTCCCCTAAGTGCCACATAGGATGAAACCGCTATCAAACAGCCGAGGGACTCAATCTGCTCTGGTTTTCAAAGATGGAGGAGACGTTATACCCGGTATTGCGATTGAGGGAGGTTATTTAATCAGGGGCAAGAGTTGAGGGAGGCAATTTATACTTATTCCTTACAAGGCAGGGTCCGACATTTCCAGCCCAAAAGAATCGGACCCATTTATTCGGCCCAATCTGGCCCATGCTCGGGGCCTAGTTTTTCCAGGTAAAGTTGACCAAAAGTCTTCACCTAGTCGTCGTCTTCCCTCGGCCGGCCTGACCATGAAAATAAACGCTACCCAACGACTCCGCAGTCACCTCACCACACGTCGATGGACACGGCGCACCAGTGAACCCCCTCGGCCCCACCAACCACCACCACCATCAACATCCTACCTTACCTCTCTCTGGCAACCGGGTCCCACCTAAGGTCCACGCTACACCCGGTCCACCAACACCCGTGGGCCCCACCGCTCTCTCGTCGTCGCACCGACCCCAACCGAAGCGGTAACAAAGCCAACGTCCCACCACCACCACACGCGCGCGCTCGCACAGACACACACACAGCACAGCGGAGAAAGAGAGAGAGAGAGAGAGAAAGGAAAAATCGGCACCACCGCGAAAGGGGGAAAAGGGGGGAAGGAAGCGAGGCGAGGCTAGGGTTTCGATTCGATCCCGCCGCTGCCATGGACGCCGGTGATGCGTGGGGCCGCTCCTCCTCCTCATCCTCCTCCGCCGCCGCCGCCGCCAGGCGCCTGCAGGCGCGCTACGGTAAGCTCACACGACGACGGGTCGGCTTTCTCTCGATCCATCGGTCGATCTCCCCAGCTGTTGGATTGCCATGGGCTGCGATTTGATGCGTGGGTGGTGGTGGTGGATGTGTGTGGGTGTTGGCTCAGATCTGTACATGGGGTTCGACGACGCGGACGCGGCGGGCGTGGAGGAGGTGGAGGCGCGCGGCGGCGGGGAGGCGTACAACTGCCCCTTCTGCGGCGAGGACTTCGACTTCGTCGCCTTCTGCTGCCACGTCGACGACGAGCACGCCGTCGAGGCCAAGAGCGGGGTATATGCCACATCCTCCCATCTGACACCGATTGTAACCGTCAGTATCAGATTGTTGTGTTTGTGATTGGTTGGATACTTGGACCGGGCCTTGGTTTCGGAAATGTGCAATTCGTAGGCACGCGTGCAAATTTTTTTTTTAGAACAGGATGCCTCCGCAGGTATCAACAGATTTCAACTGTGACGAACCAAGACCAGCGAAAGCTTGCAGGTTTTAGGAGTTGGAATTTTGGACTTTTTGGTTGGAGTTATAAGATTGGTTGTTTTGGGGTTTGGGTAGGTGTCTTCGTTTGCTTGATTGGAGAAAAATAATTCGTAGTGGCTATCCATGTCGGGGAGAATGATTGATTTTAATTTTGGGGGGTTTAGTTGGGGACTTGAGTTTTTTCTGTCTTTTGGGGGGAGTTTGGGACTGGCGGAAAACATTTCTTGTGTTGTTCATGCTAGTCATTAGCCTATTACACTCTACTGTAGTTTTTATTTATTTTCTTTCTTGTTCTTAGTATCTGATGAAATATGTTCTCTCAGCTTTCTTTATTTTTTGTAAATCTGTGGTCATTTTGCAGCTATTAAGATCCCAGCTCTATTCTCTCCAGATTATAAAGCACATCAGCACTTGTTTCTCTTGAAAGTGAAACATCCATACCAAACTGACAATATTACATATTTTCATTTCAATCTAACAATATTACATATTTTCATTCAATCTAACAATATGATGATTGTTCTTGGCTTGGTGGTTAGGATTATTATTTGTCTATGGAAGAAAAGAGTGGTACTAACTAGTGATCACTTTATGTTTTGTGATTGGGACTTGTTCATGATTAATAGTGGGATTCAGTACAACTTATTACAATATCCTTTATGAACTAGTTCACCAGTTCCCTTGCTTCGATCACAAAAATGGGCATAACTTTTCTTTGTTTTGTCTTAGGTGGTGAAGCTCATTGAAATTGCAGGAATTTTCATGTTTTATTGCTTTCGTAGGATCGTTTACATTATATTTGGATTTGTGAGATACACCCTTTGATTAATATTTGAAATTATGATGGTGCTTGGATACGAGGGAAGGAAGTTTAGATGGTTACTGGTATTGTTTTATCTGGTGCTGGTTTAGGAAATTCTCTTTTATCTATTTCTATTTTCTAAGATGTTTTTCTCAGATATTGGTTGTTAGTTCTGACCATCTTTTGTAAATAAAAATAACAGCTTTTGTCTGTTGTATCAGAATACCTGTATAATTAGTGTTGATATTGGCATCTTTGTGGTACTATGTAAATATTGGGTAGCTGCCAAGCTGGATAGTTTCTGGGTATGTATTAGTAACGTTGGATTTGTGACATTTTATTTGGTGGTGATGTACTTTGGTCTATCTTTTTGTGATGCTATTATTTGTGCCTCATCTATATAACCATGCCCGAGAGCTTTCTTGATATATTCAAGTCAGTTTATGAATTGAAATTTTCAATGTTAGCCTTTTCATGAAAGATGTGACATGGGTGTGATTCATAACTGTTTAATGTGTATATTTTAGTTGTCTTGAATTGAATTGAATTTCGATTCTTCCATCTTTGTTTAGGTATATTGTTAGACTCTTTGAAACATAATAAAACTAAATTATTCACTGTGTGCTTCTGAATGATTAAACTTTTTGTATAATCATATGCAATTGCCCTTGAATAGGCATTATTTGTCTTTATGTTAGATCCAATCAGGGATCGCTATATGTTACTAATAGAAATTATTTATCTCAATATTAGGAGGCAACTAACAAATCATTTTCAAATTCAAAGCAGAAATGCCTTCAATTGAGTTGGCGGTTCTAGCCACAATGGGCAAACATGAGACATCTTACAACATATTGCACGTGAATAATAGTGAATAGGATCATGCGGTACTGTAGCTCATACTTCAACATAAATTGGTTTATTATATAGAGAGAGTGTTATGTTGATCTTATTGTTAACCTTGAGATTAAATTGTTAGATTCTACATAAGGAAAGGCAGCATGTAATTTGGATCAACTTAGAATGTAATGTCTTTCTCTCCTAATGTTTTCTATTATCCCAGTCTACAGTATCCTCTCTATCTGAAAATACCCCCCTTCAGCCATATTGTCCTGGCCCTCTTATGTGCATTGTTAAGCCCTTCTATTTATAAGAAAGTGTTTGATTTCATATCTTTTTCTTTATTTAGTTGGCATAGCTTAAGTATTGTTGTACTATGCTAGGTCTCAATATTCACATATAGCTAGTGTTTGTGGCAAAACTAACCTTGACCAACTATATCATGACAGAAATCTTACATTATTGTGGTGACATGAATCCATACCTTTCCTTAGGCCTGTCTGTACGTGAGAGCATTTTCTACTTTGTGTTATACAAGGATTGTCTAGTTCCTTTGGTGTACTTAAATACTTGCCTATTTGTTACTGGAGAAAAGATGATGTGCTCATGGCAATCTCCCAAGTCCCAATCATTGGTGCTGCAAATCCTTCTTCTCCATTTTATTCCACTCTTTTCTTTATCCAGAAGACTGATTGGAAAAAAACAACCCATGCTCAAGCAAGCCAAGCATGTCCATAAAGCATTTAGCTTAGGGTTTCCTATTGATCAAATTCGTTAAGACCCTATTGTATTTGAAATTTCCTGTGGAGAAAACAGTCTCAAGTTGTGAATTCCTTCTGGAATATTTTTAATAGGGTGTGTTATGCTGGGTTACCTGGAATATGTACTGAATGCTGGAAAGAGGTATCCAAAAGAATGAAAGAGAATTAGTGCCTGCTTACGTTAGCAGTCATGATTACTGCTTAATGATATTTCCTACTTAGTTGCTTCTTTTATCATCACATAAGACTAGTTAGAAACTGTCTTATCTATTTGAACTTTGCCTGCATAAGAGATATTATAGCATTAAAATGATTTAATGGGAGCACTTATGGAACTTGATTAATTGCCCTTTCAGGTATGTCCCATCTGTGCTACAAGGGTTGGAGTGGACTTGATAGGTCACTTGACAATGCAGCATGGAAGTTACTTTAAGATATCCTTTTTTCTTCTCTATAATGCTGGCAATGAACATATGCAATTTTACATTTTTACATCATATTCAGTTGAAGATACATGGCATTATTGGTACTTGGGAAAACAACTGCACATGGCTTTCCTTAATGAATAATACATGCAACGCAGGCGAAGAGTCCGAAAAATATCTTCAGGGTCCCATTCTTTGTTGTCTTTGTTGAGAAAGGACTTAAGAGATGGCAGTCTGCAGTCCTTTCTTGGTGGATCATCCTATGTATCTAATCCTCCTGCTGCTGCACCAGATCCATTTTTGTCATCTTTAATTTGTAGTTTGCCTGTGGCTGAACCATCCAAAGATTTACATTCCGACTCATCTGACAATAACTTTTTGCTAAATAAATTCCCAGATGACAAGACTGCAGAGAGGTATGTCACCTCAAGCTTTGCTCTTTCTGCCGCCTCACTCCGCTCCCTCTTTGCCACAATACCACTGTATCTGGTCAGTGGATGATAGTTTTGATGTTTTATTCAGTTTTTATTTTATATTGTTGCCCTTGTGCATACTTAATTATGCTGCTGTCGTGTTACGTTACTGGGCTAGTACTATTGTTTTTGTTGCTCAAGAAACCATGCTTCTAGAAAATTGTCAGAAACTAATGAATATAAAGCTAACTAGGCGCTTTAAGATATTTAATATAACATCCTGCACAATCTGCACGGCTGAGTGAGTTCCCATTGTGTCCATGCTTTTTATTGAGATCTCTGAACCATCAAAAGAACAAATTCCATTGCTGACAATTGGTTGATTGCATTGTCACTTAGCACCTCACATGGTTTAAGGAGAATGCAAATTCTTAGATGTGCCATGAGAATTTTAGTTGAACCTTCAGAAATGATTTTTTTTTGCTGCAGCTTAATGTCCTATTAGATAGCCATAGATGATTATTCACTGTCAAATGTTGATTAAATATCTGTGATAATTTTTCAGAGCTGAACCATCTCTGTCGGAGAAGGATCAGAAGGAGAGGGCTCAAAGGAGTAAATTTGTCCGTGGGCTTGTGCTCTCGACGATATTTGAGGATGATAACTTGTAAGGGAGGTTATCAACCTTAATATAGCGACGGCATGGCATGGTCAAGGAACAGAAAATACAGGAGAACAATCTATGCAATGCAGCAACCTTGTTCATGCCGTCGCTAATGCTGCTTCCAGCCTTCAAGGCCAACTGGGGGCCACCCATCATGTTTATGTATGCACGTACGTATAATGTATGTCTGCCTTCCTGCATTTGCCGAGAGGGCAACAGGAACCAGCTGAGTAGAGGAGAAAGGTGTTTGTGTCCCAACCTTCCACGTCGAATAAATGAGGACATTGTGTTCCTTGAGTGGCTTTGTGCATATATGAAGAGAGGAGAGCTACTCGCAATGTATTAGGTTCTCTCTATTTTATTTGATCAATGTAATGTAATAATAGGAAGTGTTGTACAACTGTATTGTAATCCCAATGGTATGTGATACTGCTTTGTTTTGTATTTATTGAATAGCCAGTGTGGCCAATTGATCTAGTACTACATGCCAAGAGAGCTAGAGAAAAAAAAAGCTAGCGAATGCACACAACTGTTACGGCTGGAAGGCTAGACGAGTTCTTTGCCTCCAGCTTCACTGCTACCTCTCCTGAAGCGTGCACATGCCATCTCTTCCTCAATCCCCTCTGGTATGAATTGGTTAGGACTAGTAAGTAATGGGTTCATATCCTCTTCCATAATGTCACTACCGTTATCAAGATGGACCATAATGGCACTACCATTACCATGGTGGAAATAAGGTATGTCTCCATACCCTATGTCCACAATGTTCAAGGCAAGAAAGGCAAGAATATATGTTAAGTGGGTCCCACATTTATGTAAACAAATTCTACTTCAAGGTAGGTCCCACCATACCATAATCTATTCTCATCCTCTTTAATGTGTATCTGTGTTTTATCTCATTATTTTATTTCTTAAGGTTGAGCCATAAGCTTATGGTTATTTTTAGCATTTATGTCTTATGACTAAAGCACATAATGTATATGACTAGTCATAAGGTCTTATGGTTCATTCTTATGGCACATTGTGGATGCCCTTATGTGTGGGGTAATAGAAGGGTGAGACCCATATACTAGTAACCGTAATGGTAGTTGATATTATGGTAGAGGATACGCACTCATAAACAACAGCTCAATTGTCACTATCCTACTTCTTTTACGATTAAAGTAGAGGGTTTGTCGTTTGGGTTAACATGATTGAAGTTAGTGTTTCTCATATTTAACAGTAAATTCTATAGAAATTATTTGCTAAGTCGGATGAAGCTCACATCAAAATCTACGGCTCAGCAATAAACCTCTCAACTTTGTGTTTTCATTGTGGCAGTTGAAGAGGATAACCGGTCTATCAAGCGGTATGCACGTCAATAGAGGCCCTAGAATATAATCGTCATGGTAATGCCTCAGTTTCATATCAATCACATCTTTTGTTGTTGTATGGTTTCACTAGGAGTTTATTTCCTTTGTTAGAAATGAATAGTGAGGGTTTGTTTAGTTCGTAAAAAGAAAATTTTTGGGTGTCACATCGGATGTTTGACCGGATGTCGGAAGGGCTTTTCGAACACGAATGAAAAAACTAATTTCATAACTCGCCTGGAAACCGCGAGACGAATCTTTTGAGCCTAATTAATCCGTCATTAGCACATGTGGGTTACTGTAGCACTTATAGCTAATCATGGTCTAATTAGACTCAAAAGATTCGTCTCGCGATTTCCTCCCTAACTATGCAATTAGTTTTTTTTATTTATATTTAATGCTTCATGCATTTGTCCAAAGATTCGATGTGATGTTTTTGAGAAAATATTTTAGGGACTAAACGGGGCTTGATTGTATTTTAAGAATATATCATAAATAGATAAACTAACTTATTTGATTCTATATCTTTATAAGCTAATGGTTATCCACTTAACTAATATCACAAATATTAGTTTACTTAAACACCGTGGGATTGCTGGAGAGGTAGGGTGCCACGTCAGATGTCGCTTTTGCAAAAAAGCCCCCGCATATTGGTTTACTTAGACACCGTGGGATTGCTGGAGAGGTAGGGGTGCCACGTCAGATGTCTCTTTTGCAAAAAAGCCCCCACAGTTTTGTTAATTACGCATTGGTTCCCGCTGCTATCCACCGTCATCGTCCGTTGGATCTCGCCTAACATCGATCTGACCGTCCACGCGTCCAATTGTGCCCACCCTTCCTCAGCCGTGCGATCGTCGGTTCGGGAATGAACGGCGCAGATGTCGCCACGCCGCACCAAAACCCTAGCCGCCCTCCTCCTCCTCTTCTCACCTGCGTAGCGCCGCCACCCCGCCTCACGCATGGACGCACCGCCTCCGCCTCGACCTCCTCCTCCCCTATGCGCGCCGTCGCCATGGCCGCCGCCGCTGCCACCGCTGCAACGACGACGAAGACGACCTATACGACGACGGCGAGGACATGCGATGGGAGTCCATGTTCCAAGATCTCAAGCCCACATAGGAGACAGCTAGCTTAGCTGTATGCGTCGTGCCCATCAATGGCGAGCTCCAAACATGCAACAATGCCTGCTCGATCTGTGTGCGGAGGAAGAAGAAAAGAAAGGTGCGTACATGTAAATCCACATTCACTGTGGTCACTGGCTCACTGTCATTACTCCACTACTTACTGTTTGTATGGTCGCTGCTGCTACTGTATTTTGTAACTGTACATGTGTAGAGATCGAGACAAGAAGATGAAGCTTACTGTTTGTATGCTCGCTGCTACTACTATATTTTGTAACTGTATATGTGTAGAGATCGAGACAAGAAGATGAAGCTTGTGTGTGTTTTGTAACTGTTTTTACCATGTTCTTTCTTTGAGCTGGAAATTATAATTGATTCTGGTAACATTTTGTCCTTCTGTTTTTACCATGTTCTTTCATTGTTGCTCGCTATTTTTGTACACAGGATGATAATACATATGCATCCATGGTATTCTTTGCGGATGATCTTACGATGGCAATGGTTCTCACGAAAGATTAAACCTGACAATCTTGGCATACTATCACATCGAACCTTTCAATTTGGCCACTCTGGAGGTACCATTCTTTTATTCTCCATTTTTTGGCTTAATTTCTTGATATGTATGTAATAGCAAGTATTTACCCTTTTTATTGACTTAATTTCTTAGTCTCTATGTGGTAGCAAGCCTATTCCAGGTCTATGGATTATACATTAACAGTTCTTCCTAGCTTCGGCTTATATCGATTTATTTTTCAGCATGTACTGGCTTCAATGCCTAAATATATAGGGATCTTTGGAGTTGTGGATGCGCTTTTGTTGTTTTCTACCAGCTGATGTACTGTGTGGTTGTGTGATTGCTCATCAAGATTATTTAAGTTCAGTTCCATGCTAGCATCTGTTGTTCATCATATTAGTTAGCTTTTGTTTAGTGTTCGATCTATTGAATGACCTCTGTTGCCTTCCATTTTCTTAATCCCTTGCCACTATTGTCGTTGGCAGAATGACAGAGCATTTGCATCGATGATGTTCGTTATGGACAATCTTACATTGGTGATGTTGATACATATGGCATAGAAGACTCTGAAAACTTGGCAATCTCAATATATTATAACATCATACCTTTGAATCTGGCCATCCTATAGGAGTATAGGTACTGTTAGTTTCTATCTCCTTTTTGTTTCACTTAAATTCTTGATTTCTATACGCATTCGGAGATAGCAACCTTAGTTATTCTAGGTTCATAGAAGAAGGAATTCGCTCTAGCCTTTACTTAAGATTGGTTTTTGAAGATATTAACCTGATATGCTCGGCTATTTCTTTATGACAAAGGCTACAATATTAATGTGATCTCCCTTACCATATAGTCATATGCTTTTATATGACTCAAGCATTTTCGATGATGCTGACTGTAATAGTACAGATACTGATATTAGAATTTTCTCCAATGTTTCATTTTTCTAATTCTTTATCTCATCGAATGATTACTTTATGCATTGCTAATAGTTGACATGTACAGCTCAGTGCAATGCAAGAAAACAAAAGCAGTACTTGCTGCTCTTCTCATGCAAATATGGTGTAATAGCTTCCTACATAAGGTAATGGTCTGAATCCCAATGTGGAGAAATACAACTTTTTCTTCATTTTTTGTTTGCATAGATCAATTTGAACTTATTTCCATAAGTGAGACAGTTACTTATATTCCATGCAAGCTAGGTGATCTACAATGGGGAGTTTTCTTCTTTGAGTAAGGAGAGTCTCTGTACCTTTTTTCTCCCAAGTTTTCTTTAAAAGTTTTTTTTTTAAAAAAAACTCTAAAATGGCTGTATGTTCTGAAAAAAATCAGACTAAATCATTAGCTCAAAATAATCCACATGCTCTGTATTATGGCTAATATCTTTGTCAGATCAAACCTATAGATTTTACAATTCACCTTATAGTCAGGGAATGCAAATGAACAACCAAATTAAATATTTCTCTTGGCAAATTTTCCATCTATGGTTGTTTGGATCGATCAAAGATTTCGAAACTGGTCAGAAATTTAATAGGTCAACATAGCTACATTGTTTAATGTCTTATTTCGCTAAATCAGTTCAAGATATATGCAACAATATAACATTTTCTGATGTACTATCAATATATTCTATATATGCTCGTATAATAGTGTGATTGACTCTGTAGGTGTTTCACATCCAGCTAACCACAAAGGATCAATGCATAGGTTAACCCACAATTATTGCAGCCCTAGAAAGTATTGCTGAACTTTGCATCATGGAAAGAGTATATGTACCACACAAAATATCAATGCCTTTATTATATGTTGGCATTTGATTCAGTATAATTAATGTGATTCTACTTGAGTATTACTTTCGAACGTGGTGGGCAACTTTCTAAAATATCTACCTCATTTCAATTGAGTTTCGATATGGCATTTTATTGTATATTCCAATATGGTGCACATGGCATTTTTTTCTTACAGGCAACATTGCTTATGTGATTTTTCTGCTCTAATGATTTCCTGCTTTTGGAATTTACTACTGATCTATCCTTTTGAATTGAGATTTTGCTTTCATGGACATGTTTATAAAGTGATGATTATATTTATTCATTATAGGATCACTTGCCAGTATAATTTCATTAAGATACCATCTTTTGACCATGCAATGTTTTGTGCAACCCTTTTTGGAAGAGGAGGATATATATGCCATGTAGAACTTACATATTATTTTTTGCAAAGCAATTGCTATGTTAAAAGATTGCAACAATTGATGAAGAGAAGTATGCGATGATGTTGCAAATAAAGAACCACCTTTTTATGATTGTGGTTATAGCACCGTTTCAGTTCTCTGATCCACTCCATTGTATGTTTACAGTATTTTGTTCATTGTATGGTTGCTAATTTTGCCGAAATGCACATGATTGTACAAATAGTTCATAGACAGATCAATCGGAGCAATTCATATTTGAATCTTTATGGAAATCCTGATGTATGTGCCAGTTTGTTTTCACTGAATGTTGACAACTATGTATATATCGAGCATGCAGTGTAGCGCGTGATGATTGCTAGTACTTATCATATACCAAGTGTAATCCTATCTTACCATAAAGTTGATGTCCACTAACTCATAAATCTTAACATGCAACCATACCACATCGTCATCCACTTGCAATAATTATATATTTAACCTTATGCAAGCATACAACATCATCTATAATTTATTTATTTAATTCTACAAATCAACATGCAAGTTATAGATGGCCATAAGGCCCGCCCGGCACGGCCCGACCCAAGCACGGCTAGGCACGACCCACCAGCCATCGGGCCAGCACGACCCGGTAGTCACTTCATGCCGGGCCATGCTAGCCCATGGGCTGCACCTCCGGCCCAGGCACAACCCACCAACAGTCGGGCCATGCCGTGCCGGCCCAAAGGCACGGGTGGCCCATTGTGCCTTTTTTTCAATAAGTCTATTTTCCCTCCCTCCTCTTTGGGCTGTGATATACTACCTCCGTCCCAAAATAGTTGCAATTCTATATTGTTTAGCATATATTAAGGTTTCAGAAGAAAGACTATGGTGCCCCTTATTAAATGGTGTTTATGTGAGAGTGGGAAGATGGTTGAGGGTAAAATAGGGAGAAATTTGAATGAGATATGATTGATTGGGCAATTAGTACTCTAGAATTACAATTATGTATGTATATATATATATATATATATATATATATATATATATATATATATATATATATATCCCTATTCTTTAGAAAGTGGCATATATATGTCTATTTTTACTACCTTTTCTCTGTGTGTCGGGCCTAGCTGCCGGCCCATCGTGCCGGGCCGACCCAACATGCCGGTGGGGGGGGGGGGGGTGCAGGCATGGCCCGGCGGTCAGGCCGGGTCGTGCTTGGGCCAGGCCAAAATGCCGTGCCATGGGCCGGGCCATCGGGCCTCGGGCCTTTTGGCCATCTGTAATGTATATCTAATCATCAGCCCTCACATCATTTTCACAATATTTTAACAAATATGTCTATCATTTGTTTGTTTTATGATAAGTATTGATAAACCCTCATGTTTCATTATTTTCTTTTCCTTTTACTCCTAGCTCGATCATCGAAAAAAATATATTAAAAATTGCTTAGTAGTTGCCGTAGCAAAGCGCGTGAAATCACCTAGTTAGATAAAATGTTAAGACAACTTAAAAGCACCATTAAACTTGAGTCGTGTTGTTTCAACAAATTTAATTATATAGAGTAGAACATCCTATTATCGATGGGTTGTACCATAATGGTATTTGTATAGTATGCGAGACATTGATACCAAGTTATACGTAGTCGTAAAAAGATGGGAGTTGTGGATTTTTATACTGGTTCAGGCTCTAAGATGGGTAATAGTCCTAATCCAGTTTGATACCAGCGATCAACCGAAACCAATGAAAGAGAAAACTGTAAATTTACCACTGATTTGAATCGTTATTTTAAGACTGTCGCTAGTAAAAGATTAAAAAATAACACTAGAAGTCTAGAACCATCGTTCAAGTGATATCATCGCAAATTTGAGAAAACTAGCGGTAAAATTACAAATGCCCAATGGAAGACAATGGAATAGATCACCGCCCCGCTTGATTCACCCGTCCGATCCAAATCCAACGGTCATCCTTCCATCTCCCCCATCCCCACGCCTCCTCTCCTTCCACGAGTCGCCGACGAGGCGACCACGCCATCTCCATCTCCTCCACGTCTCGTCGCCATCTCCTCATGCCTACCCACTGCTAGGGTTTGCCCCTAAGCCCCCCACCCTCTCCGCCATGGCTCTCCCTCTCCACGACGCCACCACCTCCCCCTCCGACCCCGACGACCTCGGCGGCGGCGGCGAGGAGGAGGAGGAGAGGCTCGCCTCGAAGCCGCTGCTCTCGTCCCCGTCCACCTATCCTTCCGCGGGGACGGAGGAGGGCGTCGAGGAGCTGGAGCTCGACCGGAGGTACGCGCCGTACGCGAGGCGGGACGCGTACGGGGCGATGGGCCGGGGCCCCCTGGGCGCGGCGGGGGCGGGGCGGCTGGCGGTGGGCGCCGCCGTGCTCTTCCCGCTCCGGCTCGCCGCGGGCGTGCTCGTGCTCGTCGCCTACTACCTCGTGTGCCGCGTGTGCACGCTGCGTGTGGAGGAGGAGGAGCGCGAGGGTGGCGGTGGCGGCGCGGCTGGAGAAGTGGAGGGGGACGGGTACGCGCGGCTCGAGGGGTGGAGGCGTGAGGGCGTCGTGCGGTGCGGCCGCGCGCTCGCGCGCGCCATGCTGTTCGTCTTCGGCTTCTACTGGATCCGCGAGTACGACTGCCGCTTCCCTGATGCTGAGGTATGTAGTCCTTGATGATTCTACTTCTCCACGGGACGCCTCCTCCGAGTTTTGTGTTTACCGTTGCTTGCTTCATATCTCAGTAGATTGATATTGTGACCAATTTTGTTTACAAAAAATGATAATATGTCACTTCTTAGGTAGCAGCGCCTAATGGCTGGTTGGATTATGAATGTCGATTTTGTACTCTGGCTGTTGAAATTGGAAATACATATTAGAGCCGTTCTGCAATTTACTTTATATCTACTGGGTGAGGGTTGGGTAATGCTTGTTTGTGCTGGCATAGGTGTTTTTTGGACTGGTTCACAAGTGGTTCTGGTATATGTTCTGATAGCTGATGCTAGAAATTAGCATGCAAATGCACATCCTGTCAGTTTGGCATGTCTTTATCAGTGGACTTCTAACTTCTGTGAAGGCTTGCTTATTTGCTGTTGTCTCTCACGACATGATGCATGCCTTGTGTTCATTTTTGGTGGAAATGTGCTAATATTATACAGCTCTTGGTGATCCTTCGAATAAACTGGCACCTTTAAATAGTATAATAGTGTAATGTGATGATAATTGGTTATCGTGGTAATTTTATTTCATTGCTTAGTTCAATATTATGATGATAATATGCTGGATCAGGTGGTGGTTTTATGCCCTTGGTTAGCCTCCAGTAGGTGAGAATAAGATAACGATTGAGTTCTAGTGACCGGAATGATGTTCAGAACTTGTTCTGAATTATAAATATGACTCTGACAGATTTATTTTGTTTCTTATCCAAGATGGATATAGATTTTTTGGTGATATGGTGTTGTTCTAAGATGGTTAAATGTTTTAAAGGATTTTGCCCATATTTTGGGACAAGTAGTAGGGAACATTATTAAGGAATAATAGTCTCCAAGCAGCTCAATTTTCTTTTTCTTGAAGTATGAAGTTTTAATCAGTGCCTCTTGTATCTATTTTATATATCCAACTGGGTACTCTGTTTTCTTCAGGATGAGCATCAGGAACAGTCCAAAGAATTGGGAAGACCAGGGGCAGTAGTATCTAATCATGTATCTTATGTGGATATTCTTTACCACATGTCATCTTCCTTCCCAAGCTTTGTTGCCAAGGTACTGCAAATATGTTGTAACTTTGTTTTTGTACTTGTAATTTTGAAAAACTGTCATTACAATGTACTCATTTTGACTTGTCTCTTTTACACATCATTTTTGAAGAGATCAGTGGCCAGATTGCCCATGGTTGGTCTCATAAGGTACTTGCATTCTTGTTTGGATTTGCCTCAGTTGTGTCTGTACTTTTGGTAAAAAAGGAAAAAAAATCTTACAATTTTGTCCTGTGTGTCTATCTCTAGATACAAGTCACTATTCAATGTTTTGACCATTAACAATATTCTGTATCGATTAACCATGTGAAATTAACTTCACTTGAACTTTTTGCAAAATGACTTCATGATGTATATTTTTATTTTTATTCCCTTTTCTACTATAGTATGAATGTATAACAACATAGTACAGCCATTTTTTTTAAGAGCATATATCTGTTGATAGAGGGAGTACAGAGAGTAGAAAAATAGTTGGGTTTATTCAGATGCCGCATACAGCCGTACATTTACAAAATGACTTCTGTTTTCATGCAGCAAATGTCTTGGATGCATTTTTGTTCAGCGGGAATCTAAAACCTCAGATTTCAAAGGCGTTTCAGGTACTTGCTGAATGCTGATGTCCATAGCCTTGAGTCAATCATTTACTTGTATTGCCTTAACTTCAGGTCAGAACAGCATATTTTCCCTTTCATTAAGAGTTCACATCTGAGATGTGACTTGCACATGAGCGTGGCCACTTAATTTGGCCAAATTGACAACATAGCATATATGCGCATCAGAGTGGTGAAACATGTAAAACATAAAGGGGCCTTGATCAAAAAGTACATTTTCTTCTTCATAATGACCAAAAGTTCACAGGATTGAAGTTCAAAATAGTGTGATGAGATATTTACACCACAGTAACTGAACTAGATTACAGCACTCGGTGCACTTCTACTTTCTAAAATATTTCTGTGACGGGGCAGCTATGTCCTTTCTGTTGTATATATGGCTTCATTTTCTGTTGTCATGAATATTGTTAATACCACTTAGCTAAAGTATTCAGTTTGTTGTTGCTTTTGCTAATCCATTCAATGCACAGGTGCTGTGACTGAGAGAATCCAACGGGCTCATCAACAGAAGAATTCTCCAATGATGCTACTTTTCCCTGGTTGGTTCCTGATTATTGTTTTGGACCCTTTCAGTTTTGTTACTAACTTAGATTAAGGATAATATCAATCCATCCAACACTAAATGTATAACTTTAGTTGCAGCGATTTCTCTCTCTCTCTTTTTTTTTAATTTTTAATGCAAGGAATACATTGAGATTGTTTACTGAATTCCCTTTTGAAAATGGAAAATAATGAACATATCCAACACAATTTAACATTTTTACTGAAAGGCAAACAAGAATGTAGAACTATGGTATATGATCTGAAAGTATATTTAATACATCACTCTCTAAATTGCTTCACTTTTTATGTAATTATTTTCTTATGTATCATATGTAAATACTGGGCTGTTGCATTCTTCTATTACAGAAGGCACAACTACAAATGGTGATTATCTCCTCCCTTTCAAGACAGGAGCATTTCTTGCAAAAGCACCAGTGAAGCCAGTCATTTTAAGATATCCTTACAAGAGATTTAGTCCAGCATGGGATTCGATGTCTGGGGTGAGTATCAATGACTTTTATATCTTTTTATTCATATACCCTTAAAGCTGGCAAGTGTTTGGCTTGAAGGCCATGCAAGGCAGTGTCTGCCTTGCCAAATTTTACTTCTTTGGCTTGTATTTGGCCCCACTTGGTTTATCGTCAAATTCTTCTAAGGTTTCTTACTTTCTTTAGCATTGGCTCTACTTCATTCTCTTTTAAATACTTGGTAATGATTATCCAGTGCTATGCGCCAAGCCATCTATGTGCTTTTTAGAACTTTGTGAGTTTGATGTCATTTTTACTAATCATATGCTGAACAATTTCAACTTGTCGCTCCTTCATCTGTTTAACTTATCTATATCTCATGGGAAACTTGTATCTGTTCAACCTTACTGAATCTCATGAAAAATTTTCAGGCTCGGCATGTATTTCTGCTCCTTTGTCAATTTGTAAATAACCTTGAGGTGATCCATTTGCCTGTGTATTACCCATCTGAGCAAGAGAAGGAAGATCCTAAGCTGTACGCAAATAATGTACGGAAATTGATGGCAGTGGAGGTATATACATTTATCTTTCAAAATCTTAAAAATGGTTTTCACCATCCACATTTTCTTTATAATCCATTTGTATCACCTGAAATCTTATTCCATTCTAACTAATATTACATTTTTATTTTTGTTCTCAGGGGAACTTGATTCTTTCTGATCTTGGGCTAGCAGAGAAGCGTGTGTACCATGCGGCATTGAATGGTAATAATAGTCTACCTCGTGCTTTACATCAGAAAGATGATTGAAATGCCTTGCCATCGCGCTTCTGTATACTGATGCTGAGTGACTTGCTTGTAATATGAGTACAAGTTCCTGGTGTTGCATGATTCCTCATGTTGAGAGGAGCTATGTTAATATCCTCCCAGTAAACTGTAAAATTATTTGTCCATAGTGTGGTTCAGTAATCATGTCAGTTATACATGATTACATTCACATGTCTGGGACACACTTCACCATGCAATCCATCGATGTGAGCTTTATAACTGCTACTTTGTTACAGAAACTGAATCATCTATTTGGTCTTCCCTGCAGGATTATTATGTCAAAGCTAATTTGGATATGCGTGCCGTTAATTTTCCTATTTGTCCCTGAAATGTTATCGTACATGAACCGAAGTCAAAGTTTGCCATTAGTTTTTCTCACCAAAGGGATCCTTTGTAGATGACCACAGAATTTTGCAGCAAGAATCAGCTAGGCATTAAACCACAGGAATTAATACATAGGGGGATGAAGGGGGTAACCATAGAAATTTCCATTTTCTTCAGCTCAGGATCATGTTTAGTAGTGTTGATGTGTCATCACTAACAATGTTGTATCTGGTGTACCTTCCAACTAGCGAATTACCAATCAAATGTAATAGTTTTTATGGTTACCTATGTGATCCATTTCCCTTTTTTAGCTTACACCATCTTAGTTTAATATGTTGATTGGTTCTTCATTAACCTTACTCTTTACAATAGCAGAAGTTGGGGTGATGCCTACATTCAAGACACACCCTCCCACTCTGTATTCAATACATCTGTTGTTTGCCACATTTTCCCTTGCACGTATGCATTTATTGGTTGCTAATTGATCTCATGCGTTCATTATATAATCTTTAGGTCTGAGATTAATTATTTGTTGCCTTCCCGTGCACGTATGCATTTATTGGTTGCTAATTGATCTCATCCGTTCATTATATAATCTTTAGGTCTGAGATTAATTATTTGTTGCCTTCTCTAATTTTTGATCTTATACTGTATTTATCTGCCATATGCCATCTACCATAATGAATGGGGACTATACTGGTCAGGGTAGAAATATATTGGACCTGGCTATTCAAGCTTCCCGTTGGCAGAACGTTACTGACCAGTATAGCTATCAGCGGTTTACGGTGATGTTTCTTTCTTTGCCCAGCACTATTAATGAATGTATATTGGCTTCTTTAACAATGTTGCTCCTGTAATTATTATTATTTTGTCTTTTTGGTTTGAAAATGTTCTAGTGCCAGGTATGCCTGTCAATTTTAGACTCATTTGAAACGCATGAATTTCTTAGAAATGCAGTCGGACCGTGGGTGATTATATGGAAGTACGACAAAATTTCTAAGAAATTCATACGTTTTTGTCGGACTTTCATGCAATCCCCCTGTAGTCAGACTGCGTTCCAAATAGGACCAACCTAGTAGTACCGGATTTGAGATCGCTTTGGGGAAAACAAAACAATGTACTAAAATTGCTGATGACGTTTCATGCTCCAAAAAATGGATAAAAATTCATTGCTATCGTCACAGGCCTCATTCAGGGTGCACAAAATTGCTTTTCACGAAAACCGTGACTAGTGGTCCTTAGTGGCCTAGTTTTCATGAGAACTCCCTTACTGGCTTAGTTTATCAAAAATTTAAAATTCAGTTTGATATTTTTTTTAAAAAAATGATGGTTTACCGAGCGACTTTTATCTTGAGCAAAAAAACCTTTCAGTATTCGTGAAAACTGAGCGGTTTCTATCGCCTCTTCCAGCAAGGCCATGCAAGCTAGGTGGCCTGTGTCCAGCTCCAATGGTACATTAGTACTTATCAATAACTTTAAAAAAATTTAGTTTAAAGACACTAGAATAACTTATATAGATATGTCTTACAAAGTAAAAACATTTCTTTATTGTATATAATAGAAAAACATAATCAACAATATATTTTGGAGATCGTGTCATTATCAATAGCGATCGGAGGGAATAAATTTTCAGTGCTCCTATACGACTAGATGATGGATATGGGTTAGGATTGGATATCCAATGGCTCAAAATCCAGCTGAATACTTTGGAACTTGGGAATGCACAAACAGTTAACTGACATGGACAAACCAAAGAACTCGAAACCTAATTTGCTCTACTCGTGTAACTTCGATGTAAATCGACAGAATTTACAACATAGCCAACATTGGCAGCCGACAATATAGGAACTAATCCGACAATATAGCCAAACAAGTCTGACAGCTTTCTAATCTGCTTGTTACATGTGAAGAAATGTAAGTTTTGCAAGCACCCCATGAGAAGGGCAAAGTATCTTACATCAAAATTTTACACACTGTAAATTTCAAATGGCCAATAGCAGGATCAACTAAAAACCTGAAAAACAAAAAACTGAGGGAAGGCTCCACTACCATCAATTAGGGTTTGCCTTGCTAGTTACTTCATGTCAGCACCAGGAGGCCTGTCAGGCCTCCAATATAGAATTGTATTAGCTCCATCTGCAATATCCATGCCAACAACTGCACTGATCTATCCTAGAATTATATAGTTTTGGGCTCGTCGCAGGGAAAAGGAGCCAAAAGAAGGACAATGAACCAGCCAGAAATGCTACTGATGCCACTCCTGGAACACAAAGCACCAGGTAAACCAATGTAAGAAGTAGCATATTTAAGACTCAACCATGCTTTTGATTTCTCGAAATAAATCAAGGTACACACCTCTTTTTTGTGGTGATGAGAAAACTGGCAAACCCATTATGTTACAAAATATGTGGGCAACAATAGGAGAGACGATATTCCCTGCAGTATTTTTTGAACGAAGTGATTGAACAACCATGTTGTCAGAACAATATAAAGCTTCAATCAAACAATTGAATTAGGTAAGTGCAGTGGAAGGATGAAGAAAAGGAGACTGGTGTATTCAGGACCTTGCTTTAAAGTTCAGCTCTTCTAGAAACAGGTTACATACTTCATAATCAGTGGTAACAATTGAACTTACTATGCAAATCCTAGAATCATTCACAAAAAGATGTCTTCTCAAATATAGCTACCTAAACTAATTTGAATAATTGGAGAAGTAATTCCCGCAACAAGAATATGCATAGCTGGAAACAACAAATGCACAATGTACACATGCAACACACAAAAGAAAGAGTAAAACCTGTTCGGGTGAACAAAAATACTGCATACCACCCAAAAATTACAGTGTAGCCTAACTGGACACCTGTGAATGAAAGGCAAAAAGTTAAGGCAAGCCCAGCAAAATGAAGCAAAAGTGATATACTTTGAGAAAAATAATGTACAAAATATGACGAATATATTGAAAGATCAAACATTTGTTTATAGTTTAAGAACGAATACAAAGGAACCACTAACAAATATTGACACCTGTAGTTGATGTTGTACGAAGTCAATACTTTATTTTAAAAAGTTAACAGTGCAATATAATGATGATGATAAACTAATATGCTAAATACCAATGACTGTGATTAGATATGAAGGTGTTGCTACATCACTATAGGTTGCAAATCAACACGGTGTTGAAATAACTTCATAAACAAAGATACAAAAAAAATCGCTTTAATTTCACATATTAGAAATAAAGTAAGTTAAATATAGATCAAACAACTTTACTCTAAAAATCATTAAAAGGAAGGCGTTACAGTAAAGAATAGAACTAAAAAAATAAGAAAGAAAATACCAACGATCAGGAGTGATCTCGTAAAATTGCGTCCCTGTTGATGTAGTTCGAATAAATGGTTCAAGTGTGCTGTTGATAGAAAGGCTCAGTTACAAATTAACAGAAGAAAACATCAACACATAGGTAAATCTTAAGGGTTGTATTACGCAGCAGTTCTTAATTCCTATAGAAACAACTAGATAAGGACAGACAACATGGGTATAAACAAGTTAATAGTACCAGATCAGACCCTTAGAAATGAAATTTTGGTACAATATAAAAGCTATTTACCTAGGCTGAAGAAGACTGGACTCAGAAATATAATGTTATATATTTTGAATCCTCCACATAGAAGAAGAGGTACCATGCACGCCCGGAAAACCAATTCCTCTGTAATTGGTGCCTGAACAAACAAGCATACTCAAATAAAAATCACTAGTAGAATATATAAAGGAAACCATCGTTTCAGTAGTAACATTTGCGCCATAGAAAGCTAAAAGTTTTGCATAAGTGGTAATTTTTCATGAACTGTTAGATGGTAACATCCTACAGATCAATCGTACTATATCAATTAATTGAAAAATTCCTTGATCATCGCCACACCACATAACATTCCATCGCCGGTTTACAAGACAAAGCAAATGCATCAAAGCGAAGGAGAGAACAAACCACTACGCAGTTGCGCCAAACCATCACATCTCCTACGGAGGCACGGATCCGGTGAGCAAGCCTCTGTGCCCAGCCTATCTCCGGCTCTTCATAGCCTCCGCCGCACGAATTCGCCAGCAGCCAGAGCCTCGCGACGAACGAGCCAGCGTACACTAGCGATGTAAGGAGGAGGGGAATCGCCACCGCTTGAAGCTGCAGCCAAGCACCAACAATTTCAGAATTGAAGCATCACCAAGCTCAAACCTGTTAGTATTACTGACATGTTCAGAAAGGAAAAAAAAAAAACAAGAACAGTAAGTGAGGTCGCTTAGGCTCACCAGGTGATCTCTCCGAATGCCAAACACGGCGAGCACGACGGACGAATCTCCGATGCTCCACACCTAGGAAGGATGGGGAGGAGAAGACGCTAGGGACATGAGATTCCGTTTAGGGTTTAGGGTTCGGAGGGGACAAGGTGGGGGGCACTTACGCGGAGGAGGGAGGCGGTGGCGAGGAGGGAGGCCGAGGAGGAGAAGGCGGCGCAGAGGAAGCGGCGGTGGAGGAAGACGTGGAGGGAGGTCGGGGGCGGGAGGCGGAGGAGGGCCGTGGGGGCGTAGAGCACCGCGACGTAGGAGACGGCCATGGCGGCGCACGCGGCCACCGCCGCCGCCGCCGCGCCGGGTATCGCCGGCTGCGGGGAGGCGGGGTGGTGGAAGCTCGCCGGCGTCGCCATTAGCTCCGGCGAGCGGAGGGAGTAGAGTAGTGTCCGTCAGTCACTCAAGAGACTGAAGACGGGGGACACCTTCTCCCTTCTCGTGTCTATACTTCTCAACATAAAACAATGTAAAAACTGCTTTTATAATTTGGAGTATAATATAAACATTTTTACATTGTTTACTATATAGCAAATGATAAGGCTTAGAGAATTTTTTTTATTAAATTTTAAAGTGCTTAAACTCCCCTCTTATACAATTACTTTATAATATAAGTAGACAATTGGGAAGATTAGCTACCCTATGATCAGATGGCTAAGTGGTGCGATTGCGTACACAGTTTATTATGATCCGATATGCTTCCTCCGTTCTACTGTGCAAGATTTTCTAGCATTACACAAATTTATAAATATGTTAATGAATATAAACACATATAGGAAACGTATACATTGATCAATGGATGAACCGTCAAAAAGTTTACGATATGAAATGAAGGGAGTATTACTCGCTACATTTTGGCATATCACTTTCTACGGTGTTCTTTTTTTTTTCTTTTCTCCTGAAGATGAATATTAAGTTTTTTTACGTAAAACGATGTGGTATTAACATTTGATTGATTGAGTTTTAATTATTACATACTTAAAAAATAAATTAATATGATATTTTAGAGCAACTTTCATATAGAATTTTTTCGCACGAAACACACCGTTTAGTAGTTTGAAAAGCGTGCCAAAAAATCTTAATCTTCATCCAACTCTTGTTGGAGAAAAGAACGGGCCGTAACATTTTATAATCCAATTACTATCTGTCTTTGGCCATATCACTGTTTTTCAGTGAATAATGTTGCAGCTTGCAAAGTAGCTTCATTTCCGGTCGTTTCAATTCAACATATTGCCACCAATCGGAGCCGACCAAAGGACGGTGGCAATACCATCTAAATTTGAACTGTTTTTCTATCTTTCATGTTCAGTACAAGCCTTATACTCACTTTATAAGACGCATCATCCGTTTTGAATTAACGGTCCAGATTTGAGCTTGTGCCATGCTCCTCATATATGCATTTATTAGTTCATGGTTGCACTGCAGTGAGCATCTTCGTCCACATTGGATATTGGACATTATCACCACATTCTAACACAAGCGCAGCACATCCATTTGCCGCCCGTATTTGCAATGGTGCACAGATACACAATGATGTTCATAGTTGCACTGCAAAGGTGTGTTCTGCAGAGAGATACAGGAGGAACGGAACCAGGCGAGTACTCAAGTATGGCCCTTCTGAAGGCACAAAACAGGGCTCCACATTGAAAAAAGTAGCGCACAGCTCAACCAGCTCCAGGCAAAAAAGTAGCTCTATTTTGATGTTGGCACAGCCGACAAAACTGCGGTTTCATGTCCACATTCAGGTCTTCAGAGGAGCTTTCTTCTCCCTGTCGGATATGCGAGCGGGCGCGTTTGTGTGCGACTTGAAGCGGCCTCGACCGCCGTCCTCCTTCTCCTGGAAGTTTTTAGGTCATAGATTTAGCACCATTTCAATTATTGATAGAAACACCACCTTAAGAGTTAATTTTGATGTTTTTAAGTGTGATGAAAGTAAACCTTCTTCTTTACTATCTGGACGACATCCTCGTCTTGAAGAACATGGCCAAGCCCACAATGTTGCGGGTAATGCCTCGCACTTGTTCCCCATACAAGTACATACTTCACATCCTTGACCAAACTCCTATGGATATGGTTGCAGAAGTCTTCAACTGTGCAGCCACCTCTATCCTGTTGACACAAAACCCAAGTCATCAAACATATTGCAGTCCTTTAGAACAAGTAGTGCAAGGCATGACAACAAATAAAGCTTACAGTAGAAAGAACAACTGGATCTGTGAAATCAGGTTGCTGTCCTTGTGGCTTTGTATACACTCTCACTAGCCCCATTTCCTCCCACATTCTTGCTAGTAGCCTGTCCAAGTTTAGCTGCAAAGAAATAGTTTATGTTAAATTCAAGATAAAGAACCACAAAATGGAAAAGAGAACCAATTGGGGACAGAAAACTCAATACTTCTGCGTGCACTGCGGTTTTCAAGATGCTCACATCACACAAGGCCCAAGGGAAGTACCAGAAATAACTTGAGAAGGATATAAAGGTCCCCATCGTTTGGCATATGCTTATGCTTATCAGCCAAAATTTGAATTTTCAATGTTAAATTTGGAGCTGATTTTGGGGTTTTTTCATCGAAGTTTATTTTTCAGCCTTTGCTTTTGGATCGATAAGAACACATATATAAAAGTTTTATTCACAAACTGCTACTCGTTTGCAAATATGCCATTTGGCATATTCTGAAAATATGCCAAACGATGGCAGCCAAAATTTAACTGAGAGAGTAAACAGAAGATATATAACATGCCTGCAAATTGCAGCTGATCACAAGCGAATTTGGTTGCCGAGCAAGCTTATCCACATCATCAATACCAACAACATCAATCTTGTTATATACATAAACACATTTTATGTACTTCCGATTTCCTTCAATAACATCGATGAAGTCATCCACGGTAGCATCCTCGCGGAATAACACCTAAAGAAAACCAAATAACTGTGTTAATCATGCGTGCACAAACACACACATACACAATCATAAGAGTGCGTGTGTGACCTCTGCGTTGTGAATTTTGTACTCATGCAGTATCTGATAGCAGAGCTTCTCATCAACATGGGTCAAGGGAATCATGCTGTTGAAAGAAATTCCACCAGTCTTCTTCTTTTTGAAATATATCTGTTCATACAAGCAGAAGTGATTAATAATAGACCAGGGAAAATAAACAGTACAGATACACATACGAAATGATTCATTAGCAACAAAGAATATGATTTAGAAAGAGCAACACCAACTGTATAAACATGACTCAGGTACACCATATGTAAGACTTGATTCAAGGAACTAGTCAGCAGAGTTACATGGTTCAAATAGTCCACAGAAGCTTGCTGAAGAGTGATTTATGATATACTTGCAGATCTATGTGCAGAATGACTTAGCACTGTTATATTTACTATCAGTAGTTTGACAAATTATCTGACATGGCAAGGGGAATCTGCAGTCAACCCTGGCTTGCCACTCCACGGTTCACGTACTGTTTTCTTATGTAGGCAAATGTATATTTTACCAAGATGATAATGATACACCTGGAATTAATCCTAATCAAGCACATGATGCTCAAGATGTCATGCAAATTGGTTCATTTGTTGGAAATGGAATCAGATGAAACGAATGTTGTTTGAGCCCCAAATTGTCCATCTTGCGTTTTCAATGTTGAATTCTAATTTCGCCCTAAGCACTACCTGAGGAGGCCTTTTGTTCAGACGAAGTCCAACAGCTTCCAGTTCTCTAGTTAATATTTGGCGGTGTCCTTCACTCTGAAATGAAATTCAGAACAAGAATCCAATAAGCAAACAGAGCTCAGGTAAAGCTTGGATCATGTTCAATCACATATAGAAGGGGAAAGATTGGATGTAATTGTAACATTTTTTTCATTAAGAAAAGAAAAGGAACTCCATCAAACCCCGCCTCTTGATTTGCATCAATCTAACCTTAACAAACTCTCCACTAAAATCTTCTAAGAACTTTCAAGCAACTATAAAATTGATAGATTCATTTAAAGACAGTGTATAAAATTTCCTGTCTTTATAGGACATATTTACAAAATAGCAAACATGAGCACTCAACTGAACTTGAAGTTCACCTATTTTACTAGTAATATTACAGGAGTTTTTATTAAGAAAAGAGAAAAAAAACATCTAGTGAAGGAGATATGCAATGTTAAAAAAGAAAAATGGCCTTGGTGAATAAGTAGCCAAGTGTTGAGCTTATCACATGATTGTTTGCCCTATATTGTCAACTTTAAATTCATAATTTCCCCTATTTATCTATTGTTTACAGGTCACAACCCCTTGTTTCTTGTCTCCTAACTTTTAGGTTTTCAAACTTTTAGTTTCCTAAAGCTCAAAGTTACCTCAAGTAAGATAATTTTATCATTATAAAATATATGCAGGTGCTTGCAGAGTAAGACAGTTGAGCATTCTAACAACAGAAGGCTTAATTGAAAATGTGGATACTTTAAAATATTCTGCTAGTAAAAGGTGTTGTTTAGCTAGTCCTGAGTTCAGAATTATATCAAAACTACGATGACTGAGACTGATTTTCTAGTCTATCATGATGGATGGACAATCACACTACAAAAGAGAAAAAAGTACATCGGACCCTTTCCAATCTTTAAGAACATTAGCTCTTCAACAAAGTAAAGGACTAGAAAAGCAATGAAGCAAAGCCGATACAGCTACACTACTTACTTTTGAGGCATCCAGAACCATGAGCACAAGATCTGATGACTTTGCGACAGCAATGACCTAAAATGATTAAAATAAAAATTAAATACAAGTTATTTTTGGGTAAAAAGACACAGATGCACCGTACACATTGTGATAATAAAAACATTCACAAAATTTACCTGTCTACCACGCCCCTTGCCTTCTGATGCACCTTCAATGATACCAGGAAGATCAAGAAGTTGGATTTTGGTATCATTGTACTGGATAATACCAGGAATGCAAGTGAGGGTTGTGAACTCATATGATGCAGCTTCAGAATGGGTCCCAGTCAACATAGTCAAAAGAGTTGACTTTCCAACACTGCAACATAAATTTCAACACGGAAATCACAGTGATTTAATAAACCTGAGAAAAGAAAAAGATTGGGACTCAACAGTTTTTAGTAGAGAGTTGGGACATAGATGTTTTCATCTTAAATTGAACTTAACAAACAACGTGCTCACATGCATGCTAGAAAGTATATGGAATACAACATGGAATACCAATTTATCATGGGTAATCCATCGTTCTACCAATTAAGATATTTAGATATCAAATTCCCATCGTTCTTTTTCAAGTCATTAGATGGAAGAGTTAGAAGACAGGCATGCACAAGAATACAAGGCAGCCAATAGTTCGTAAGAGCTGGAATGGCATGCACAAGAATACAAGGGAGGAAACAATATATCGAGAAGATTATATTACACCAGGTTCTTATACAGTTATACTGATCATAACAGACTCCATGAATTCTAAATC